CCACCAGTGCGTCTCCTGCCGGTCCTGCTGCGGAGGATCGAACAGGAGAGGAGGTCGGTGATCCTGGTGGCTCCTGACAGTCCGCATGCCCGGTGGTTCCCCTTCCTGAGGGGCATGGCGGTGATGGAGCCCTGGGCCCTCCCGGACGAGCCGGGGGCTCTAGTCCAGGGGGGAGGAGCCCTGTTTTCACGCCCGATAATCGGCCGCAGGCTCTGGGTTTGGAGGCTGAGAGGCGGAACCTCGTAGACCTGGGTTTTCCCCCTGCGGTGGTGGAGACCATTCAGGGGGCGAGGGCGCCGTCCACTGTGAGGGCCTACGCCACGAGGTGGAGGCTCTTCAGCGACTGGTGCGGTTCCCGTTCCTGGGATCCCAAGCGTTGCCCGCTGGAGGGGGTCCTGGGATTCCTACAGGAGCTCTTTGACAAGGGGAGGGCTGTCGCCACCTTGGCGGTGTTCGCGGCAGCCATTACTTTGGGTCACGACGGATTCGGGGGGTTCACAGCCCGCTCTCATCCGTTGGTTAAACGTTTTCTGCGGGGGGCGCGCAGGAGGAGGCCCCCGCTCCAGAGAACGCCCCCGGTTTGGGACCTCAGGGTGGTCCTTAGGGGGCTGTCGGGTCCGCCTTTTGAACCGGCGGCGGAGGCGAGTCCCGAGTGTGTCGCTTTTAAGACGGCCCTCTTGTTGGCGTTGGCGTCTGCTAAGAGGGCGGGCGACTTGTGTGCGCTCTCTGTCCATGCGTCTTGCCTGTCCTTTGGAGAGGGCGACGGCATGGTGGAATTGTGGCCCAATCCGGCTTTTCTCCCCAAGGTCATCACGTCGGCCTTTAGGTCGAGAGTCATCAGGATTAGGGCTTTTTATCCGCCACCGCATGCCTCCCCCGAGGAGGAGCGGCGGCACCTTCTGTGTCCTGTCAGAATGCTGAGGCATTACCTGGCCATGACGTCGTCATTCAGGTTGGGTGGTCAGCTGTTTGTGTGTCTGGGTCCCAAGAACAGGGGCGCCCCGCTGTCGGCTCAGCGGCTGGCGCACTGGGTCGCCACGGCTGTGCGGCGGGCGTATCAGACGCAGGGTCTGGTCCCCCCGGTGGGCTTCAGGTCGCATTCCACGCGTGGGATGGCGGCCTCTACGGCCCTTCTCAGGGGGGCGTCGGTCGAGGACGTCTGCCGTGCGGCTTCTTGGGCGTCGTCCTCCTCTTTCGTCCGGTCTTATCTTTTGGATGTGTCGGACCGGTCGGTGGCCCATTCCGTGCTGAGTGCAGCGGACTGAGTTAGACCGTTAGGTCCCTCCTCTGAGGGGGCCTTCGGTTTACTTTCCGCCCTGGTTCAGGAGCTCTTGGGAGAGGCATCCTACAGGTGCGGTACATATATGTGTGTTTGGTCGGTCAGGTAGTCCACGTCAGGAGCTCTTGGGAGAGGCGTCCTGTGGCTACGGATGACCTACGGTCTGTGTTAAGTGGGGGTATCCTTGGTAGGAGTGGCCTGTAACACGCATTGTTTCTTCTGCCCTGAGTCCTCTCACTGTGTGAGGGTCTTGCTCGGGCGGAGCTCCAATCACCCTTCGCTGGCCTGCTGGGAGTACATGTTCCTACGGCCTCCGCGTTGTGTCCCGCTAGCGAAGTCCTAAGGGACGTAGCACCATGACGTAGAATTAATAGTTACCTAATGTAACTTAAGGTCTACGAATAGGTGCGTAGTCCCTTAGCTACGAGCCCATCAGGCCAGCCCGGCTTGGCAGAGTTCAAGAGGGGGTGCGGCCTTGTGCAGGGGCATTTATAGAGGACGGTGGCTGGTGATTGGAGCAAATTATTTTGATCTCTCTGGCGTGTGACCTGGGGGTCACGAGTGATATCCCACTAGCGAAGTCCTAAGGGACTACGCACCTATTCGTAGAACTTAAGTTAAATTAGGTAACTATTAATTCTCTCAACTTGTCTCTGACGAGTTTGGCATATTTCAAATGTCCATATATATAATGTTTTGACCTGAACCAGTGGAAGCTATTTATGCATGTATGGTGCTTTAGCTCTTATTTTTATATGACATGCACAGTAATATATGTACTTTATCACTGAAGTTTTACACTGCTGTGAACTGAATGTATTTGTGTTTAATGATAAACGGGATTATTATAAATGTTATAATAATAGATTCTGGTCGAGCTACATGTCCAATTTGCAATGCCGATTTGTCTCGTGGTGGTAAGGACCCTAAACAGTACAAAACACCGCTACTGTTAAAACATTTGCGTATGAAACATAAATGGACTGAGGATGGAATAGGATTCGGTATTCGGGTTCGGATTCGGCAGAATCTTAACCAGTGGATTCGGTATTCGGCCGAACCCCAAAAACCTGGATTCGGTACATCCCTAATTAATAATGTACATGTATAATGTGTTCTCTGATTAACATTTAAAAGTGTTACGGAAACGTATGCGTAGACCAATCAGAAAGGAAGGTGGAGGGAGCTTGCATCGTTTTTTTTTACATGTAAATCAAGCACCTCTCTGTCTCTCTTTCTGACAAACTCCAGACAATCACTCTAAGTGAAGCCTCCCTTCCTCCTGTAGAATCCTAGAATCACAGCGGTTCACTTTATTTTAGAAGTGCTGCTTTCAATACAGTATAACAGGGTTCTTTTTAAATGTGTACATGGGATTCCATATTTATTCTGATGATACACATGGATTGGATTTACCACACCAGGCCAAATAGATTTTTTTTGCATCGGCAGAAAACTTTCTCCAGCTTCACCAGGACAAAACTAAGGTTTCAGTCATCGGCCCAGAGGGTGTTGGCAAAATGATTTGGCCGACGTGTTCAGAATTTGGGACAGAAATAAGGTCAAGATTCAAGAGTTCCAATAGTACATTTATTTCTCTTTACAATTAAATGTTGATACTGAACTCCCGGAGCTACTCCCTAAATCTCTATCCCTGTGCTCTAACTTCCCCCAATGTGTCCTCCCAACGGTTTTATCAGAATCTCCGATGACGTCACATGGTCTGACGCTGGTCCCAGTCTGGTTTTGTCCAGTTTTGTGTCTCAGGCCGCTAGAGACACGCTGTTCCTGAAAATGATACTTTTATCACAGAAGCCTTGTCCTTGGTGCTTGTCTGAATTCCATTAAATCCAGGCTTTAATATTGCACAAAGACATGTTTGCAAACACCTACTGGAAATCATTAGTATACAACATTATAATTCTACAACAAGGGCTACTGAGAGAAACTTTTACCCAAACTCCAAACACTCTATTTTCTTCCATCATCACAAGTGAAAAGACTGGGCATGACTTTTGACTTTAATTCCTCTAATTAAGAACATCGGCAGAATCCCATTCTCTCGAGAGGCAACTTGGAGACGCTGATGCATTTATTACCAGTCGTATACAATGCACTGCCCTCTGGACTTCCCATAAAAAAACAATTCAAGATTACATTTACTACAAAACTAGGCAGCACATGTCCCGTCTAAAAACATTGACTAGAATGTGTTTTAATTATTTTGTGTCTTTCCAAATCATTACACAATAATGGCCTAATAATAAAATAAAGCAGGTCGTTAGTGTTTTTTTTGTATATAAAACAAGAAGCAGAAAGACAAAGAGCAGGAAAGAAAATCAATACAAGAGAATAAACCTACATCTAAGAAATGCAGCCACACGTTTATCAAATAAAACAACTTTATGAGTTCCTTTTGTATTTCATTGACGTGTAATAAAAACGGAAATGGTACAAAGTTACAGAGTTCATACTCACTGTATTTTAAATTGCTCATTTAATCTAAAGACAATTATCAATCCATTTTTAATCCTGACACATACACATACAAGCATTTCAATGACCAGTCCAAATGTCATGTTTTATGACTATTCCTAAGCTTCAAGACAACTTGATTACTACCCGTCATCATTATGTTTTGTTTATTGGACAAGATACTGTGTAATCCATTAACCATCACTGATAGTAAGGGCACTGACTGGGGATTGCTCCAGTAAAGTTTAGATAGAAGCACACACTTAACCCCAAGGTTGACACGACTTGACAGTGTTCTCCTATTCTCTTGGGTGGAACAATATTTGTACATTTTATTCTTCCCTTCAGATCAAACATTGGAAAGTTTGTTTTTGTTTATTCAAGGCGTGTGTGACCAAAATAAGAAGCATCTGGCCTGTAAAAACCTAATTTTCACATTTTAGCTGTTGATATGTATTTATTAACAAGACGAGATGGACTGTTCATGTAGATGGTGCCAGTGGCATCTGAATCATCTTTTGATAAACTACAAAACAGACCTGAGGCTGTTTATCCAGTATGACCTCCTCAGAGACAACAGGGCCTGGGCTTCACACTGGTTTAAATTGGGCTGCTCCTAAAACCAGAGTCTGTGTCAGCGGTACAGTCTATGGTTGGAACATAAGGGAGTCTGCTGCAGCTGCACTCTATGCAGTGCTTCTCAAAGTGAGGTCTGGGCCTCAGAGTCTGCTTCCAATGGTTGTCCACCCAACAAGCAATTGAGATTTTTATAAATTATTCTAATATTTGGTTTGGTTTTAAACATATTTACTTGCTTTAACAACTAGATATCTATATTATGGGTGTTCTTTGGCTTAAATCTACAAAATGTGACCAGGGTAATTTACCCTAAAATTGTAATGTACTGTAATTGTATTACTAGCTGCTGGGATAAAACTTAACATATTTTTACTACAAATTCCTTTTATAGTACAAAGTTTTTAGTAAAAGTGATTTAGAGTTTATTTAGTTCCAGAACACCAATTATATGACTCGAATGAAGTTGACAAGGACAAAGACATGTGTTTTTTTTGTTTTCCACAAGATATATTAACTATACTGATCTTTTCTTTCATTGTAACTTGTAAAGTTATAAAAATAGTTTTCATTTTTACAATACAGAGTCACTTAAAAAAAGACCATAAAATGTCCATGGATGAAACATTGGATTAGTGTCCTCTCAGAGGTTTGGGGAGAAGCCTGGGGTCTAGGCCTTCAGTCCAAAGCTTCTGGCCCGGCTGAGTACATCATCTCTGGTCAGGTAACATCCACACAGCTGTCTCAGGCCAGTGAAAGACTCCCTTCCATGCATCACGCGCCAGTTGTCAATGAATATGACCTTAAGGCAAACATACATGCAAGAATTACAAGGATACATGCGCACTAAGTTTTTAAAAAGTCAGATCTTACGGTTCCAGGGTGGAGTTTAACCCACAGCTCATTTTGGGGACACCTCATTTCTGCGGTCAGCTCTTGGTGTGCAACATACCAGCTCTGGACCACGTTGTGCGGAGCTGTGTTTATCACTGATCTGTCATAGTTATTGTACCTGACAAAAGCACATTTATACGTTGTCACTAAAGCAAGCAGCATTACTGATACATACAACCAATGCTCCTACTAACCTGATCATGTAAAGTTCTTTGTTCCATGAATAAACTTCCAATAATGGTCCAATGCCTCTCATTTGGTTTCTGTGGTCACCTGTGTTCTCAATGTATTCATGCTTGATGGGAACTTGTGTGAGAAGATCAAAACTGTCCGGTGACCGCTGTCTTAGTTTTTCAGCTGCATTAAAGCCATCCACCAGCAATGTTCTCCCGCCAGTTCCATCATGTTTGAGACAATGGAACACCTGAATCCTGCAACAAAATAACAGCATTGATTAAAATATGATGATATTGTGATAGAGAGAATGTAAATCAGTAAATTACAGTCTTACCCACAAGGTTCCTGAAAGTAGGTGGTGTCTGTGTGACGATCCAGGGCCAGCTGGCTGTACGCAGTGTCTCCCCGAGAAAAGTCAGATGTAAAGCACCACATGCGTCCATAGGTGGTCTCTCTGGACAGTATAAAAGTATTGCATTCATTTATACAGTATTGTATTCAAGCAATTCTTTATAGTGCAGTACCACTTTTGGCCAGATTTTCACATACTGCTCCTTAAAAGCTACACTACCTAACTTTTTTTCTGGTTTTATACATACATCGTGTTTGTCCCAGGATATAGTCTTAAGTCTTTTGTTTGAGATTATTTCTAAGACTAACATTTTTGGAACAAATCAGACCACACAATTTAATCTTATTAGAAAACATGTTTTCTTCTACATACTGGGAGCTGATAGGCTGAGTGAGGCATGGTCTTTCTCACTGAAATAGCTGATCAAAAGTGACTATTTCAAATTTACACACATGTAGTCACGCCTATCTCCGCCGTTCTAACTAATAGGCCAAAAATTGGGCTCTCATGGAGGGATTCAAAATGGCCACAAGGGCTGGAAAATGTGAAAAAACGCATCTGCGCATGCGTCAGCCGGCACAAGCCCCATTCATTTAAACAAGTGACTTCAAAAATTCACAGCGAGTAAACTAAAGTGGTCCAAATAAATTCACTCCCCTCAGCATTGACACACATGTGGAACGGAGCTTTGGGCCAAGAACCGACTTTTGGACCATCCTGTAAAGGTGTTTTTCGAGAGGTAAGAAGATGCTATATGTTAGCATTGGCTAATTCTTATTCCGGGCCCACCCCCATCGGCCCGGGGTGGTATTGCAAGCATGTCAGAGCACGTCATTTTGGCCACTTTTGAGCCGGGACCCGCCCCCACTGGTGAAAACTGACAAACAGTAATGAACTAGTTGCATGAATGGATGACGTAGTTACTTTTTTGTGAGTTCAAAGTGTTCCATTAACTAACCTGATGAGACTGACTCTCTGTGTAACCGCCTCTGTGGCCTCTACCGTAACTGGTACGTCCTGTACAAATGCGATCCCGTACAAAAGGTAGTTCTGGAGAAACCGTTTCAGTTCACTGTCACAGCTCATGAACAGGTCCCATTTGGAGGGTGCAGGGTTGGCCTCGTTGTACGTGTGCGAATTCCAGAGCACACGGGGTTGCACAGTGCTGTTTCTCGTGGTCTCATAGCTGTTATCAGAGAGCCAACGCAAGGCATACTTCGTCACATGATCATCTGGCCCTGCAACATTAAATATATTATAGGATTCATATTTACAAGTATATTTACCTTTACTGTATACAGACGACGACGTTGGACGATTTATGTTTGGTTTTATGTAATTAGCTTGAGCAGTAATAACAAATATAATAATTTCAAGTCATCAGCTGACTGAATTCGTCAAGTCATCAGCTGACTGAGCAAAATCAGGCCGCCCTTGTCAGCAGCATAAGGCACTGATTATGCAGGATCACTTCTGCATTAGGACAGGGATGTTGGGAAATACGAAAGAATGTCATGTTCTGCACTGTTAAACATTGTTATAGCACTCATGTATTCTCACCCCTAGTCTTTATCCTGAAAGGCCTTCAGTTGGATTATGTTTTTCAGTCAGCTGATACAAACTTGTTTACCCAAGTTATGGGTCTTCGTTTATATTTACCTTTACTGTATACAGACGACGACGTTGGACGATTTATGTTTGGTTTTATGTAATTAGCTTGAGCAGTAATAACAAATATAATAATTTAAATGAAATAAGTAGGTTCTTTAATACAACAAAATGGTTGTAAATCAACATTGCTTTGGGGAAAATTACTTTAACTTTCACCTATATATTTACTCTAACAATGCTTTTGGAATAAATGATGAGATATATGTGGCTGATTGTATAGATATCGAGTAAGCCTGTGTGCATACATTTAAGATACAGGTGACCATCCTCCAGTTTGGTGCTAACAGGACGAATGTTGAGGTCAATGCTGGCAGAATCAAGTTTCCTCTGGTTTGTTTTTTCATTGAACGACGACTCGGAGCAGCAGTGATCCCGCAGCCACACGTAGTTAAGATGCATACAAGTCCCATTGTAGTCCAGCTCTAGATTGATATACACAGCAACAGAAAATAACATGTCTTTAAGTATTCGTGGGGAATGCAATAAGAGTGTTACAATAGAAACACTGACCTAGACAGTGATCCAGCAGGGAAACGGACGCAGCGTGACAGCGGAGCGCACGCGGCACTTGCGCCTGAAGTCTCCAGAGCCGCTGAGCGTGTTTCAGACTCTTGTGCAAGGAGCTCAGCATTTTGTGGACGTGTCAAAAGAAATACTCTAAACTTGGCCAGCAAGTACAACTGACGTGTGCATTTACGCTAACACATGTGATTAAGGTGCATGTGAGATTCCAACAGCTTTTCACTTTTTCATAAATAATTAATCGGAGTAGAAGATCTTAAACGCATGCGCGTTTAGTCTAGTCTAGTCCGGATGTGGTATACGGATCGGGGTGACATCAACAGATCCATGGGCTACGAAAAATATTTACCGTCTATGGCTAAAGAGTTATGGCCTCATCAGACCACCGCGCTTGACCCATCATGGGAGTTCACCATGTCGCTGATCAATCCACATATTATTTATCTTGTACATTTGCTCTGGAAGGCGTACATATATTGGGCATGTTTACAATGAATTTAGTCCAAATGACTACTTGTGAGCTAGAACCTCCCCACTGAGGGAAGAAAATAGGTTATCTTACCAATTCCCTTTATAAGGCAGTAGTTATTGTAATAGATCCATGGGCAGTAGTTTAAAAGCCGCAGACAAGACGCGGTGACGCCATGCTTGAACCCTCACTATGCGACACTGTTCATGGATTAGGCACACTGGCTCCCTCTGGAGCTCCACAAGAACAACACATGTTCATGTAGGAAACAGCCGAGCCACAGTACCCTATTGGTTTGGGATATTTGTTTTTGCATATCTTTTAAAATAAACTTAAATATCCATTACCCTAAACGCTTGTATGTGCATTATAACTCAAATTAACTCAATCAAGATGTGTTCCTTACTGTATGTAGGTGGTCACGTGACAGGATAAAAAAAGAGTCGTGGTCCTAAAAGTCAGTGCAAAAGCCCACTACTGCGAAGGGAAACCGCCTGCTTCCAAATGGCAACAACAGTCTTTCAGTCAAGTTGGGCTTGTGCGTTGTGCACATAGACTGTAGTGCAACGCAAAAGCTAGTTACCTAGTTACCGTCTAACTTCACGCTCTGCTAAACAATACAACTACAACGGCAAGTCGCATTCATTCAAGCTAACCCACTAAAATACAGCGAGCAATAGCTTGATTATAATCTAAAACTTATTATAATAGATCCATGTCTAAAACGTGATTAGTTGAATAGAGGTTGTATTTTCCAGAGGTACAGTGCGCCCTTGAACGCCCCATGAGCCCGCCCCTCCGCACACAGCAGCTGTAGGCCCATGTTTACGTGCTTTGTCAGCGGCTGTGTTCCACAGAGTACATGTAGCGACACACAGTGTCTCACCTGCCGCTAATCCGAACCTTGGACCTTTATCTGAGGCCTCTTTATCACATCCTCAGCGCTTATTATCATCTCTCTTTCTCTCCTGTAGCACTGCACTGTCCGCTCTCGGGTGGACTTTGAGCTGAGGCACTCGGTCTCACGGGGTCCTTTATCGACGAGGAGAAAATGACGTTAAAATCAAGTAAAAACGAACCGGCTGCAATCCTGGAGCCAGTGTGCGGTGTCCGGACAGCCCTGTCTGACTTGTACCTGGAGCAACTTCTGCAAAACAAGCCCAAGTCTGACAAGGTAAAAGGCTTATTCCTATATTCTCCATGTGTACTTTTGATAGAAAAGCAACTTCTTTGCTTCCGGGGGTGATCCAGGCCCAAGCGTTGCTACTCACAGTAAAGCATTATAATAATAACTATTTATCTAATGTTGGATCGTCAAGTCATCAGCTGACTGAGCAAAACCAGGCCGCCCTTGTCAGCAGCATAAGGCACTGATTATGCAGGATCACTTCTGCATTAGGACAGGGATGTTGGGAAATACGAAAGAATGTCATGTTCTGCACTGTTAAACATTGTTATAGCACGCATGTATTCTCACCCCTAGTCTTTATCCTGAAAGGCCTTCAGTTGGATTATGTTTTTCAGTCAGCTGATACAAACTTGTTTACCCAAGTTATGGGTCTTCGTAACATGATGCCTGAATGCTAATTAAAAACATATTCTGTCTGTCTGGATATCATTCTATACCTGTAGCACAAGATCTGCAGCAGAAAATTATTTAAAGAAGTTTGCTAAGAGCAAAACACAAGGCAGGAAACTGGTTTCCAGACATCAGCATTTAGGCGCGTCTGTACAGCCTTGAGTGAAAACGCATCTCACATGAAACCTGTGCTTTAGTTACAAAAAGGAAGGTTAAAGGTCAACAGTGTGAGCTTGAATGGAGGGATTGCATGATAAGTGATTATACATAACATTAACTTTGACATTGCTTCAGTTTGTTCACCTCGCAAGAGCTACTTTTAAAGAAACAATAAATGATAGAAACAAAATAGTTTTCTATCAAAAATCAATACTTGTCATGTTAGGAATAAAATGCCTTTGAACAAATATATGGGCTTTGCATTTAACATGCTTTTCATATTAATTACTGTCTTTTGTGTATAGTTTGCATGTGTTCATTGTTTATTTGCATACATTGTGATGACAAAAGAGATTGAGTTTCTAAGGGATTTGATTAGCTTTTCTTTTTTTTTTTTGCAGGTTTTTTGTTCCAATGCCTGTGCCACACTCACACAGCTGGCCTTGACATGCAATACTGGTGTCAAATATCGGACCAGATATTGAAAATGTAATATATCAGTGCGATGATGTTAGTTATTCCAAAATACTGACCAAGGTTACTCAGTTGACGTAGTACACCATTGATCATTTACTGGCCGAGTTTTGGATAAATATAATTTCAAACACGAGTGGATCCAGCAGTATCAAGTTGTTTGTGATTTGTGGGTGGGGAGTCATCTGTTTTCATTCCCTGCAGCTATTGAAAGTACAGGGACTGGTATCAGATGTAAAAAAGTAAACAACAGAAATGTAACATTGCATCCCTAGTTTCTGGTCTGCTACTGATTGAAACATGGATGCCTTGTTAGAGAAGAGAAGCTGGCATACTCAGATTGTTCTTTAACAAACCATTGAATCATGATGTACATTGGCTGCTGTCACTCCCAGAACACCCACAAGACTGTTAATAATTCAGACCATTTGATCTATGGTGGTATGAAGATGTGTCGCCCAAACTGATGATGAATAATGAATGAACTGGCACTGATATCCTGATAACTGCTCACTGCTAGTATCAGTAGTTTTGATAAGAGAATGATCATTTGATAATATCCAACACTGCAAATCATTCATTAAAATAGTATTTATTTTGTAATTACAATGATGTGCAGGGTAATACAGTCCCAAAATGCCACAGGCTATTAAAGCTCTCTATACAGTCAGTATATTTCTCCATTGCTGTGTGGCACTAGTGGTATGACCACATTAACCTTGTGGACCAGAACAATGAATGTGGTTAATCAGGTGTCTTTTGACTGGACTAATTATTAACCTCTAACATATGTCAAACCTTACCATAGCTGTTGCCCTTTGAGCAGGAAACAGTTGCTATGGGTAGCCTGCATTATCTGATCGGTTTGTGAAAACAGACTCAATGTATCTATTCTTGTTTTGCTTGTGTTTATATAGGGTGATATGCAAGTGCATGAAAACAAAGGAGCAGAGGTTTTTACAAACGGCAGTACTGGACATCTGAACGGTAAAGACATGACTAAAATGAAGGAAGTAGTCTTTGAGAAGAATCCTTCAGAGCCACTGGTATGTTTTTATATTTATAAAGAATAGTATTTTTGGGAATCACTTCTCACAGTGGTGGGTGTTTACAGGGAGTCACACTGAAACTGAACGACAAACAGAGGTGCACAGTGGCCAGAATATTATATGGAGGCATGATCCACAGACAAGGTAGATCTAGATTATATAAATAATAATTGTATGTATATACATTATATTTGTCTTTTAAGATATAGCATTGTAGTAACACACATTCATTATCTCCAGGATCTTTGCAGGAAGGTGATGAAATAGCTGAAATCAATGGGAAAAGTGTGGCAAACCATTCTGTAGATTATCTACAAAAAGTACTGGTAAGATTAACGCACAAATTATTACTGATTTTGATTTTATTTCACAAATTTGATAAGAAATTTGTAACTTTTTAGCGAGAGACAAATGGACCCGTCACCATGAAGATCATTTCGAATCCGCAGAGTCGCTCTCGAATCTGTGAGGTAAAAGTCCAGATCTACATGAGTTTTATGCAGTGTCTTCCTCAGTTTTGACAATTGACTCACAATATTAACCTTTTAGGTTCCAGTTTTGTTTTTAAGAAATTTGATGTGAAACAGAAAAAAATATGGAGTCCTGAAACTTTATACGAGATAGAAGACTGAAATCAGCCAGATTGCTGTATAGAAAGTGTCTTGGATTCATGAGCCAATGCTACTATGGCGCCTAAAGGGTTAACGTGAGCGAGTTATGCTTAATGATTCTTGAATCATGTATTTTTGTTAGGTGAAACCTCTGTAAGCCAATGAGAGTTCAGGTGACTATGCATTAGTACAATTTAATACTTACATCTGAGACGTAGTGTGGGTCACTCTGCCATCTACTGGGCACAAAACACATTCTAAATTGTTTATATCGTTCAAAGAGGTTTTTCTTTTTCATTTACTGTACAGACCAAAAGTTTGGACGCCTTCTCATTCAAAGAGTTGTTTATTTTCATGATTATGAAATTGTAGATTCACACTGAAGGCATCAACACTATGAATTAACTCATGTGGAATTATGTACGTACAAAAAAAAAAGTTTGAAACAACTGAAAATATGTCTTATAGTCTCGGTTCTTCAAAGTAGCACCTTTTGCTCTGATTACTGCTTCACACACTCTTGGCATTCTCTTGATGAGCTTCAAGAGGTAGTGACCTGAAATGGTCTTCCAACAGTCTTGAAGGAGTTCCCAGAGATGCTTAGCACTTGTTGGCCCTTTCACCTTCACTCTGTGGTCCAGCTCACTCCAAAACCATCTGGATTGGGTTCAGGTCCGGTGACTGTGGAGGCCAGGTCGTCTGGCCCAGCACCCACCACTGTCCTTATTGGTCAAATAGCCCTTACATAGCCTGGGTGTGAATCTACAGTCAATAGTCATGAAAAGAAGAAAACTCATTGAATAAGAAAGTGTGTCCAAACTTTGGGTCTGTACTGTGTTTCTCACTTTGCATTGTGAAAATTGGTCTTTTTGTGTGGTCACTGATGGCAGGGTACAGCTGCTAATATATGTATTTATTTATAGTAGAATGTACTAATATGTAGTTGTAAAGTGTCTTGTCACAATACTATATTTTAAAACTCTGAATAGACTCGGTTCTCCTTAAATAAATCATATACATATTGTAAATAGTATCGTTACTTGTATCGATTGACATTTGATTTTAAATCATTATTCACAACATCATGTTTCCCATAATACCCTAGTGAATGTAACTTATTTACTGTAAGCATCCTAACATCACCAGGGTTATATGAGAGAAACTATAAACAATTGTCATGAACCGAGAGAACACACAAGCCTGTAGTGGCAACAATAACAATGTAACAATAACCCATAGCAACAAAATAGTTTTATATCATTGTAATATATTGTTTTGTTGTAGTTAAAATAATGGTGTGTCAAATTGGTCTTCAAAAGACCCAGTGTGGCTGCAGATGTTCATTCAAACCTGCGGGTGCCCATTTCATAGAGTCTCAACTAGACTTGATGAAATGTGTGGAGTCGGGTGTGCTCCTGCTGAGTTGGAATGAAAACATGCAGGCACAAAGCCTTTGAAGACCAGTTTGAGAGCTATCATTTCAATTAAATGGCACAAATCTATTTTAGGATAACTAAATGCAAAGTCTGACTTGTTTTTAGACTTACATGAGAGCCCAGTTCGACTATGACCCCTCCAAGGACGACCTCATTCCGTGTAAAGAGGCGGGGCTAAAGTTTTGGACCGGTGATGTCATCCACATCATCAACAAGCAGGACCCCAACTGGTGGCAGGCCAGAGTGGAGAGCAGCACCGCAGACTTCGCTGGCCTCGTACCTTCTCCAGAGTTGCAAGAATGGTAAAGAACACATTGTATACACCTGTTGAATGTTATTGTTTTATTATGTGTATTATAATGCATTATAGGAGGGAAGCAAGCAAAAGTAAAGCTAAAGAAGGAACGCCATCTTGCAGCCCATTTGGGAAAAAAAAAAAGTGCAAAGACAAGTACTTGGCAAAACACAGCTCTGGTGAGTGTTCGACACTACAATTGTTTTCCACACTGTTTACTTTTTAAACACATTCAATCTGTTTTTGCAGTTTTCGACCAATTAGATGTGATTTCATATGAAGAGGTTGTGCGACTTCCTGCTTTCAATAGAAAAACATTGGTGTTGATTGGTAGGCACTCTTCTTCTTCTTGGTTTTCGAAAATTAGCTCAATAAAACCTGGAGTTGTTTATCATTGTTAAGAAATCAAAGCAAGAGCTTTTTCTTCATCTAGGCGCGCCAGGGGTTGGGAGACGCAATATCAAAAATGCTTTACTTACAAAATACCCGGAGAAATTTTCCTATCCTGCACCACGTGAGTGGATCAATAGATTTATTTTAGTTTTAGGATAATGAAATGTCTTCTAAACACGTCATTTATCTATATTCAGATACAACAAGACCCCAGAGAATGGATGAAGAAAATGGAAAGGAATACTTCTTCATCCCAATTGAGAGAGAAATGACAAAATGCATCACTGGAAATGAGTTTCTTGAATATGGAAGTTTCCAAGGAAATATGTTTGGTACCAAATTTGAGACCATCTACAAGATCCATGAACAAGGGAAAATTGCAGTGCTTGATATTGAACCACAGGTTTGTATCCCATGATACAATTTCATCATGATTGTAGTTATTGTCCATTGTATGGTTATTGTCCAACAGACCTTGAAGATTGTGCGGACAGCAGACTTTGCACCTCTTGTGGTCTTTATTGCTCCGACCACAACTTCTGCCCAGGTAGACTACTTACTTATTTTAATTTTAAGTCTTATTTAGGAACCACATGAACTTATCCAAATGTTGTCTCACAGACGGAGTCTCTGCAGATGATCCAGAAGGAGTCAGATGCCATTTTGTCAACGTACAGACACTTTTTTGATCTAATTCTGGTGAACAACGATGTGGATGAAAGTGTGAAAGGAGTGGAGGAGGCGATCGAGAGTGCATGCTCCACCCCTCAGTGGGTGCCTGTCTCATGGGTGTACTAATGATACAACAAGTACAATGACTTGTAGTGGCTGAAAAGCAATATGAAATTATCTCAGATAGTAATTCCTAGAGTGGACAAAATTACTTGGGATAAGCGTGATTTTTATTGAGAAACGTTGCACAAATGATCTTTTTGTTTGATGAAAGCAATATGTAGGATGTTTGTTTTTGCAAAAACAAAAGCTTTATCAGGGATTGCTTTGTATGGGCCTTTACATACACAGTCATTTTTATTGATTCTTTGCCATTTTCTCACGTTGCAAGATAAATATTCAAAGACCACTCCATTTAGACTATACTGTGCATCAACATTTTTGTTCCTTGTGCCATGAAGTCTCAACACTGTCCTGTATGTAATGCCATTGAAAGGCTCTCAAACAAATACTTTTGTCACTGACCAGCTGTGTGGTTTTAAATATGGTGTACCTCCTGGGATACATGCACTTTGGAAAAAAGATAAATATACAATAAAGATTCCTTATATTCATGGGTTTCAGCTTCCTGTTTCATCCAACATTTTTAGGATATTTTCTAACGTAAAAGATATAATGTTAATTACTAAGGGGAGAGAGCTAAATGTTCACTACTAAATGCAGAAGGGAAACATCAAAACAATGCTCTAGAATCTGCTATTTCCCTTGATCACTAACGTATTATCCAGATTGTTGCTAGGGCTTAATACATTTCATTTTCAAAAACCAACAGTTGGCCACACCCTCGGTAAAAGCAGATAGATGATGTAGCCCAGCAAAATAAATAATCTTTGCCATATTTGCCCAATCACTGAGACAATTGAGCATTTAATTGCAGCTTTGCCACACCCCCTCTCTACGAACGCCATTTTGTTGACATGAACATTTGCTGTCAATAGTAAGCATCTTGTAAACTCAAAACTGTCTATGCCACTTAATGGAAATTATAAGAATACACCTCTTGTGCCCAGAGAAAAGTGATTAGCCAAGCTTGTTGTTGTGGACAGCACTGAGGTGGCTTTGAAGTCTTGGTGCGCCCATTTCAACATGAAACTCGCCTCGATTGACGTCACCGAGAGCCATCTTTGTCCAGCTAATCCAGGCACAGTTTATTACACCTTCATTACAGTAGGGACATACACAGCGCCAGGCTCTTATTATAGCCTGCAGGTCTCACATCGCCGTAGATATAGTTTGTAAAAAACGGGCTTTTGACGTGAGCCTGCACATCGGTGTGGTGGACATTGCTCCTCCTAGATTCAGAAAGGGCGACAATAAGCAGCGGAAGGTGCCAGAGGGTAGAGAGGAGCGCACAGGCAATCCACATCCATCTGCCAGGCACTAGGGACGCGCTAACACTTCAGTCCGGATTCACCACTGCTCTTCATCCACTGCAACCAAGAACATGTAAGTAAACAATACTGGACAGTCGGATTTCTATCGTGTTTTTGAAACGGACGTGTAGTAAATCTACATCGTGCTCCCGAAGGCTAATCATGTCTGTGAAGACTGAGTGGCTTCTTGGTTATACCTCCATGTTCGCACAGGCTCCATCACGACAGATTTGTTACGATACAGCGACAGTCTCTCGGAGTAAACAGGAGCCTTTAGAAGCAAGTCTGCTTCCTAAACAGTCTGCTCTTACTTATTTATCTGTGCACTTACACCAGTCAGTCGCCTTCTCTTCGTCTCGCCTTTTATTGGAGCGAGGCGAACGCAGTTTTCCAGTTTGGACTGGATGGAATGGCTTGTATGTCCGTGTGTCCACATTGTGCACTTAACTTATCGCAACATTTGTACAGTATTTGAACATCGCGAGTCAAATGTCCTTGGTTGTTTTGTGTGAGCTACCTGCAGATGAAGATTACGCTAATTCAGCAAGGGCATTCAATCAACCCTTTGGTTATCCATCCTATAAAACGACATTCTCAAAATGATATTGCTTTGTCACGATACAAAGCTCGGACATATTTTAAGAACATTTCCTCGCCTGTATTTTTCCCGGGGATTTGATTCCACAGTTCAGCCTTGACGGGGCTGGGGCCTACCTGAGGCCGTGTCAAACTACAGGGGGGGTTGGGATAGTCATAGCATAGCCTCACTATGTCGTCGATTCAGCTCCGAGGGCGGACATGAGAAATGGCAACAATTGGTCCCGTTGGAGATACGTCTCACTCTGCTCCAAAGTCCCATGTGTGGCGTGTTGCAGCTGAAGATGGGAAATGGCCGTGAAAACCGCGTAGCTCACGTTTTACAATACTCGCTTGGTTACAATTATATCCGTGCACAGAGCAGACAACTTGGGCTATACATGTAGTAGTCTTGATTTTATTAAAGTCATATTCCTCATATATGATGTGTTGCTTTTACAGGAACATATACCTATGTGTTGTTTTTCTGGCACCAGTATAGCCTACATCTACAACATACCGCTCCACTAGAGCAGGCGTGCGGAGCTGTCCAGTGCTGAAATGTCGCTCTCCAGTGCTGAGCCTTGTACATGGAAACAGCCTTCTGAAAAGCAACATCCACAGTCAAAATTATATCAGACTAAAGCCACTGGATCACATCTTCAATATCCAATAAATGAATAGGCCTAAATTGTCGGTCAACTTTTCTGACAGATATATGTGATGAGGGATGAACAGGGCTGAATGTGATTATAGAAAGATCTCTAACATCTTCGAGGAAAGCATAATTTTTGTAACCCCAGTATGAAAATCAAATTGATCAACATGACCCATCTTAACTTTTACAAAGGATTAGTGAAGAGTGACAATATATAATGACCTTGTACATTACGTTTTTGAGCTTGACATTGTACATAGAATACAGTAACCATAATCATCCTCAACTAAGGACCAGGACTGTGACATGCTTGTAATTATGAATTGTTATTGCACACAACTTTAGTAGATTTAGATGGTTGGCAGTTTATACACGCAGAACAGATTAAATAAACAATTATGAGTAAAATTAATATTTTTTTATACATTTTCAATAAAAGCAGCCAAGCTCTTTCAAAGAAATCCTTTTCATTGTAAATGACATGCTTGCTTAAACAGATTGTTAGCCACAAAGGATGCTGCTAGTGCCGTGTGCAAAGACAGGCCAGTGAAAGAGAAAACCACACAATAAGTCATAACAGATAAAGCTGTCTGAGTCCAGGCCAAAGTCTGAACCTATATTAATATGAACATACACTCAACCCTTTAAAACCAGCATATCGTTGGATCTTTTAAGGTTTTAGCCCAAGTTTGCAAGTGCAAAAAGAAGAAATTCTTAAGGTACGTGTCTCCAGGAGGCTTGTGGGAACATTGATCCACAAGGTGCACATGACATCATGGAGGCCCTCCACTGTCTGGAACTGATGTCCATTTGTGTAAACTTCGGAGTCATTACAGCGTAACATGCAGCATGGTCCTGACATTATTCTCCGGGAGACAATGCTGAACTGCAGCTTTGTCCTGTTGAAAATCCAGTCATTATTACAACATGGCCTCCTCGCCTTTGAAGCTCTTTTGTTCTATAGGGAAAAAAACACCTGTAATCACGGTGCTCTTAAAGGCAGGGGTCTTAACCTTTCAATTCACTGATCAACATATTATTGCAGGTCAACGGCTGTTGTCCATACATTGTTTACGCTAAAAAGTCTTCTTTTGAATTTTGAAAATGTACTTTGAACTGGGCAACATTATATTCTTCTTTAATATAAATGGGAGGTTGATGGGTGGATATTGAGTATCACAGGCTACTCATGCTAACAAATGTATTACAATTAGTACAAACAAGTAATAACACCAGGCAAGTGACAGCAAAATAAATCAAACACACAAAAAAGGTCAACATTGAGAGAATAAGTAGCTATGGTGAAACAGCTTCCATTCAAACTCAAAGATGAAGTCAGTGTTTTACATTTGACAGTGAAAAAAGTCCTTGACGTAAAACTTGCTGAAACCCAATTTTTGGGACATTAAATATTTTCAGAAGTGATTGCATTGCATTTATGTTTGTAAAATGTTTGAACGCATGTGCTTCTCCTCAGGTCTGCCCCAGCTTCAGGTGCTCCTGGCCCAGATGGGAGTCAGGGCCCTCCCAACCTCACCAGCAACCGCCGCCTGCAGCAGACACAGGCGCAGGTTGATGAGGTAAGTGTAGTGGCTCAATATGATTAAAGGTGCGTTTTGTAGGTTTTTGGGAGGAAAGTCCTGTATGGGTTTGTTTCATAATGATTTTTCCGAGTTGAGAATCTTCCACAGTATGATATGAATTGAATCCAGAATGGTCAACTTTATTTTTGAGTTATAAATAGCTTGATACCAGATTGATTTCTATACTGTGCTATGCCGGTTCATGTTACAATCATGTTACCCTTTTTAATCATTTTAAAGTGACAATAGGTAGGATTTTATTTTTAAATTGCATATACATCATTGACCTTTGTCCTCAGACACAAGGTCAACATGTACAAATCTTGTCCCACAAAGTTTATTTGGTCTATTTGGTTTATTTTGGTTACTTCTGATAGATACTACAAGTTTATTAATTTAAGGCCAGTGTTTAGACTGCAGGCGCAGCCCTCGTAACTGTCAGGTACCACTCTGGTCTTTAAAAAAATTCTCTTGTATGTACCAATCATTTTTAGCCTTTACCGATTAAAATGTTCAAGCTGATTTATTGTAATCACAAAAACAATGAACATAATAACATTTCATATTTGGGTTTCTATGCATTAAATGAGTCGCTCAACTGTGTTGCCAGTTTGTTTAGTCACTGTCAAGACCCCAGCAGCTGGAACAGATCCATAATCATAACTGGAGGAGCATCTACATGTGGCTGCTTACCATGCAGGGCAAGACACTTGCAACAATGGTTTTGATTGATTTGTGGTAACCACTGTATATAAAACCAGAAGGAAAAAAACAACAACAACCTACTGTTCCTTTAGATAAGGCCCCACGTGACCTTAGCTGGCCCATGGAGTCACTTGGATTTCACCTTAATATGTTTTGAACATGAACAAATCTTTGAAAATTAGAAAGTATACCTTCCAAAACAGCAGTATATTGTCCTATGATTGAGTGACTCTGTGTTCTCCCAGGTTGTGGATATCATGCGTGTAAATGTGGACAAGGTTTTGGAACGTGATTCAAAGCTGTCTGAACTCGATGACCGGGCTGATGCCCTGCAGGCTGGAGCCTCTCAGTTTGAGACCAGTGCTGCCAAACTCAAGAATAAATACTGGTGGAAAAATGCTAAGGTGAGTGCAAACTTAAACGTGTCAAAGGTACTGATGAGATGATTAGGATTTGTTTTCTATTATATCTGCTTTCTATTTGCAGTTCTTGAAATTTTTATTCCTATTACCTAAATGCTAAAATGACAGGTCTAATTAGTTTTAAAGTAAAATATATTTATAAAATTCTATAATATTGTTCTAACAGATGATGATCATCCTGGGTGTGATATGTGTGATCATCCTCATCGTCATTATTGGTAAGAATTAAGTTTGACTTTTTTCCTCCTGTGAAAAGTTTGCTTTGAAGGTGTAAATACTAACATGTTTTTATATTTTCAGTCTACTTCAGCACCTAAGAAGGGACCCCTCCTACCCCAGTCTGATTAAACTTCCTTGCAACAGAAAACCCTCAAATTGATGACAAAATGCTCAGATAGTAGAGTTTCCCTTCTATAGTCTCAATATCTCCCCACCCCTACACCCTTCTGGGCCCCATGCCTCCCCCGTACATCACCGCTCTGGACCCACTCCGTCTGGCCCCGTCTCTGGGTACCCCGGGACTCTCCAGCAGGCCACACCAACTGAGAACCAAACACTTGTGACCGTGCAACAGAAAGAAATGAAACAATGGGCAAGAGTTGTTACATACCTGATAATATGTAGTTATTCGTATACTTCTATTCTGATACTGTTTTTGTAGGTGAGTGTGCGGTGTGTGTGTGTGTGTGTGTGTGTGTGTGTGTGTTTGCATATTTTGTATTCATTTTATGTATGCTTCAGCATTAACTACTGCCTATTCAAAGTGTGTATCTTGCATGTTCCCATCACCGGTCCTCCAGTGGCTTACTCTGATTTTAACGTTAAATAGTTTCTATCCGGAGACAGTCTCTAACAATCCCCCAGTTGTACTTTGACACAATCATTTTGGTGCAATGTTGCTAGTTTAAAGAGGGGGTTCTTTCCCTACGGTTCTGAAATACTGCATGCATATTTAAATGCATTTGTAGTGGTAACAACTCACAGTCCCTTAAGTCTGATTCAGGTATACTTTTACTGTTCTCCCCAGTAGTTCTTCAAAATTCTCTGCCTCTTAGCATGCTTAACACCTAAGTAACTTTAATGATTTTGAAACTGCCATAGTACAGTCGGACCAATGTCTGTAGATGTTTCTTTTGTTGAAATGTTTCGTAGTGTCTTATTTCGAGAACATTCCTTCATTGCAGTTTAGTGCAAAAGCTCTTACTGTAGCACATGTAATTGTAAGTATCTTATGTGTCGAAAAATGTTGGTCAAACCCACACAGCAAGACTAAAATATCTAAAAACAGGCTTAAACTGGTATAGGGGTATTTCAGTCCAAAAAAGGTTTATTTTCAAGATGCGCACTGTGGCGGTGTGGATCTTGGCTTAAAAATACAAAAGGATGTTGTGATACAAATGTTTGTCACAAGCCTTCATTGACTCAAAGCCTTAGTATCCAGTGGCGCTAACATAGCTACACCGCTCTGTGTGAGGGGTTGTAGCTGAAATGTCAAATGCACAAACTACCTTGTTTTTGATGGCGCTCTCTGGCTGGTCATTCCATAAGAGCACAGATACAAACTATCAGCCTTATTTGCAAAACCAGGAATAATAACTAGAGACAATATTGTGCTGGCTTGGGTTTAAGTTAAATGCAGTTCACCTTAAAGAGTAGCATTCTCTCTCACCTTCTAGTTAAGGCCTTTTTTCTTTTTTAAACAATAGATGTATATTTTCTGATAGTATATTTTTGTGTCACAGACAGGTAATGAGGAACATTTGAGTTCTTTTTTACCTGCCTGTAATGTTTTGTATAATACCGCTGTAAGCGTTGTACACTGCCAAGCATTAAGGGAGAGGCTTCTGTTTGTTTCATAGGTGCCCTAAACAACTGCTACTGATTATGACTAACGTAGCCTTTTAACTACCCACCAGCTCCACAGACCAGCCCACTCCTCTAGTGCACTGATCTAAACATGCTTGTGTATGTGTGTTAGAATAGCCCCATCTCTGGGAATATCCCACTTGATCCCACCAGATTAGCCCGCTTAAATCTTTCGAGTGAAGGCCTCCAGGTTGTTTCCTTTGACCACACAAGCAGAGGGAGATGTGTTTTAGTTATGCTCCTACAATTCCCCACATCAAGATAAAAAAGATTACCAAAGACCAGATATTTTGCTTATGCTGCCAACTGCCATCAAAAACAAGCAAGGAAGAAAGAACAGGTTGTCCAAATGACCCTAAATAGATTAACCTTAGTGTCTCTGAGGACCTTACACCATATACAAGTGTGCCATTTAAATATATGCAATTTAACCAAATCATTGTATAGAGCATGCTTTGACAACACCCCCAACCCCCATGGCCCCGTGTGCGGCAACCCAGGTCTGAAGATCGTCTTTTTCGACACATTAATAGCACAACTCTTTATTTTTCTGTCTGCGTAGTGCTGCCAAGTTTGACAAGATAAGTGCTTCAAAAGCGGCATTGTTTGGTGTTGTAATATGGGGGTGCTTTGGGGATAGGGGTACCTTTATCTTCAGATTAAAAAAAAAAAGTATTTATCAAACTATATGTAAGAATGAATAGATGTAAATTGGGTTTATTGCAATACAAAGTCATGACAAGGTTACCTGCTTAGCCATCCTTGCTAACAATGCACTGAAGTGACAACTCTACTGATTGGGGTAGGACTTCTATGAGTTTCCCATAATTCCACTTGTTCTGTGAGTGCTCAGCCACAATGGTGAAACCGAACGTGAGTGCTCTTTATTGTTTTTGGTTCCGTTGCTTTCTTGTCTGTATGGAAAAGTGTGCATATGTTTCACTGTGGCACATTTGTTGTGTTTTTTAAGGAATGGAATTAATGTGAATGGAGAATATTGTCTTATGTCCATCTTAAAAATGTTCAGGGATCTCAATTGGCTGTGTTCAATTCATTTGGTGGTTCCCAGTTTTATAGTATGTATTTGGAGATAAACCAGACTATCAGATTGTGAAAACACCTACAATCAAATCAAATGTAATGTAGCCACCAAATGTTTCAACTACAGTCATCAGGAGGGACCCTATTGAGACTCTGGATGTTTTATGGCAGGACTAAAGCTACACATTATTCTATTTTTTATTTTAACCAAATATTTTTATTTTTATTTTACATCAATTTTGTAATAACTCCAGATGTCGCTGAGATGTTTGTTTGAAAGCACTGACAGTAAAAAAGAAAGCAAGTTGATGGGGGAAAAAAGTATTTTGACCTAATTTTGTTAAAATGCCGATTGATTTTATGGTTTACAACAGAACGTTGTTCAATATCTTTGGTTTTTAGTTAAAACATATTTTTTGAGGAACACTTTGATCTCTCTCTTGGGGTAGGATTTCATTTTTTTAAAGCTGTAATTGCCCCTGTCGGTCTGGCCTTTTTGGAGGGACAAGACTAGACTCTCATGGGCAATTTGCAAAGAGTATTTTTGCTTTCTTTATTTTATTAAATTATTGATAGATTTATTGTGATTTTGTCCAGTTTGGAATTAGAATCTACACACAGTTGACTCCATTAAGGGAGGGGGAGTTGAATGAAATACTGAAGTACATAAAATAATTGTAGTGTAAAAATCTATCAATGTCTTATTATATTGATGAACATCATGAAATATATGTATATTGGAAAACAGTATCCATGACAATGTGTAGTTTTTGTGTGCTTCCTGTGATCCGTGAGTGTGCATTTGTGGGGAATTGCAATGTATGGATATAAATTTATTGACAGTACCAGTATTTGTTTCATCAATTAAAATGAAAAGAATATATTGTATAAGTTAGCATGACATGAACTCCAATAGCAACGTCACTAGACAGCAGCACTATAGTGTTATAAGTCCCTGTGTGGATCTGAGGGCAAAGGACAGTTTGAAGTAATCCTTGGGGGCACTTAATCATGCAGGTCATGCCCTTGTCTATTTCACAATAGACATTATACAAACATAACCTGTAGTACCACCTAACACCACGTGATGGAGTTTAAGAGAGACTAAAAAGGTCCAAGATAATCTAAATCTTCCAGAATTTAAGTCCTTATTGAACAAATACTATTTCCCAACTCTGCTAGTCTGCAACTATTGCATCATAACATGAGCCACTTGTGATGAGATGTTACACAGTATTCCGCTCATGATTTGTTCAGTTCATATTTCTCACCAGCAGGTGTCACCATAACAGTTGAACACCGTAAACCAACTAAAGTAGCTCTGCAACCTGACCCGGTTAGGATGGGGCGCTGAATACAGATTATTATAAATGTCATGTTCATGATCAATGTCACATCATTTTATAATGTAAAGAGAAATACTACTGTACACCTGATAAGATCGTAACCCTAGTACAACTGTTCCTTTTCACCTAAAGGAACAGTTTAGCACTTTACAGCCAAATGATCATGTTCCTAGAGATCTCCCATCACAGTGCTAACCAGGGTAATCCTGCTTAGCTTCTGAGATCTTAGAATATCCTATTTTGACATACAAGTGGTGTCACATTCTACCGCAAAAATTCTATTTGGTTGCTCTGGTTTCCCAAATAAACAACAAATATGCTAATCCCAAATAAGTTATTTTCTGGTTGAAAAGGAGGACAGCAGGTGTTGGACTGTGGTCACCCACGGATCATAAATGGTTTTCCGAGTGACAGCTTCACCAAAGCTAAGGGCTTTCTGACTTGTAACTGTGTAAATGTGGAGACAAGCATATATTTTATATCAATAATTAAAGCAAATCTAAATTGTAAGTCATTATAAGCCCTTCTTCAGTAATGCATCAAATATGGATGGTCAATTAAAATAAACTAAATATAGACCAAAGTGCTGCACTCTACAGCAGATGTTACAAAAGGAGACTAAAGGTACATTGAACACATTTCATAACAACATACAATTACAATAAAACTCAGTGTATAATAACACTGAGTGTTTGCAAGCTTTGTGTTATCATATCTAAAATCAAAATTAACCCAGAAAACTTAATTTAAGAAATGTAATTAATTAAGTTATGAAACATTTACCAGTGGAATTTGTATAATAATAAGTAATCACAAAACATATCAATTACACAATAGTATAAAATAAAACACTATTTTTGTACTTAAAATACTTTTTGTACTTAAACTATCTTGTTCTGAGACTCAAATATAAATCATCCAGTCATGGTTTGGTCCTGCCCTATAGTCTACGGTCCTGTCGTGCTGTTACCTTCAAAAAGAATAAACTGCCCCAGTACGGACTGGAGTCCTTCAGTTGGCTTAGATTTCTCCAGAGTGCAAAGGGTCACTTACTCCTACCCATAACGGCACAGTTTACCCCAGCAGACTGTCTGCACTATTTATTGGCCTCAGCTCAGCACAAAGTCCTTTCAACACTGGTATGCATCAGTATTGTAACGTGAGACAGTCCAAGGTACATTTACATTCATCTTAATGATTGTTTAACAGCAAAGCACATCTGCTTGGTTTAGGAAATTGAAAGAGGGTAAATATCATAGGCTGAAGGAGTCTTGGGATTTAGGCAAATGTGGTAAAATGAGACTCAAGACAATGGGTGATTTTTCAGCAACTTTAAGCACCGTGCAGAATCCCAAGTAAACAATGTCCACGAGGGACAAGAGCCACTGACGGTGGGACAATGCATCAGAGGTCTCCCAACAACAAGCAATCATGTTCTTTACTGCTCTTCAACCAAGATACATTTTTCCTGTGACTTTTCGAGCACAAACCAAGAAAAGTAATTCAGAAGAGGACAAAGGGAGAGAAGAGAACGAAGGCCTTGTGGCAACATCTATGAATATAAAATATTGTATTTATTCATTTCAAACTCAAACAGAACAAATACCATTCACAATTTGAAAAGGGGTTGGACAAAGTAGGCGCTTATTTGGATCCAACCCTCTCACTCAAACAAAACCCTCACCCATCCAGACACGACACAGGCCATGGGGCCTGTCACTCTCAGACCCTTTTTTGCTCTCCCAAAATTTGAATGAACTAAAATCTCAGATGAAAGACAAAAAAATCAATCTACATAATTCTTATTAAAGGTCAGTGTTGGTGATGAGTGAGGGTTTTAAATAAGGCTGAACATCCACTTAACCTGATGTAGTATACTGGATAAAAAAAAAAAAACTGCAACATGAAAAACATGTAGCTCCCGAGTGTCCTTTATTTACAGACCACAAGTGTAACGTTTCGGGCTGATTCCCTACATCAGACTTGAATCCTTCATGAATCGATTCATGTTGTGCAGATTTTAGGTACTGTCAGCATTATTCAGCATTTTTCAGTAACAACAATGTTTAAGAACTGCATTTGCTGCACTCAGCAGTACATATAAAATGTGTAGATGACTGGAATGTCCTCATTTATGACCCTACTTTGGTGCTAACTGCCCCAGGCCATTGTTCAACAAGTTGGACATTTATTTTGTCTATTGAGTTGGAAAACACAAAAATCAGCTCACATTTTCTGCACAAATCTTTACCAAAACAATTAAATCAAATGAACTTTTCCTCAATGCCTAGTTTGTCAAAAGTCATGTTATTGTGGAGAAGCATCTGTGTTTAATTACAAGCCTCGCGTCATCCCCCTTGCAGCGCTTTTTCACTGTCCGTCATGCACCGTCCCGCCCCCTGCCCTGAGACGCCTACTCCAACTCTTCCACTGCGGTTACAGTGTCTTCCACCGCTGCATACATGCTCGGGTGCATCATCATGAGGGCGAGATGCGTTAGTGGTCTGCTGCTCTTGTTTGTGCTTTTGGGAAGAACTACGGCTCAGCAGCCCACACCGACCAGGTAACTTTTCTGAATTGTAATTCATAAAATCTAATGTTTGTTCAGGGGTATCTGCTAAATTGTCCTATTTCATACAATCTCCAAGTTGAAATGGTAATAAACTGTATATAATTACTACATAATATTATTTTTCTAAAATAGTTTGAATAGGTTAACGACGTCTGGATCCTGATGAGGTGTTTCAACTTGCCAGATGTTCATGTTTTTGTGTCTACCCCGTGGGGTTGAATAAGTGCTGATTCTTGGTTCTAACTGGAAGCCTTGTTAGTGTTTCATACTAAGGCATTCCTTCTGTGGTTATCACCATACTACTGCGCTGTTTGCAGCACACAACATTTTGGCACGAGTTACAAATGTTTTGCTTATTATCTACATAAACACAAATGTTTGGCTTCCCGCCCGGTTTCTCTAACAGTCATCATCATCGTGACATTTGCCAGACCCCGATTAATATACAAGTTGTGAAATAATACAGATTATAGTCTTCCAGTTGATTTGCAACAATCAGTTACAAACTCAGACATTCTGGACATTCAGTTATGTCCTTTGATAGTCAGTAGTACTTTCTTTGAGAGCAATTATTACAGTTGTGGGTTTTGAGGTTTTCATTTGCCTGTGGAAGAGGTCTGCACAGTGGTCTGCAGGATTTCTAGGATTCTAGGATTGTCGAGCCAAGTGGGTCGGACCAAGAGGCTCTTAATACTCAGTGAACAGCTTCAGTTAGAATGTCAACATACTTCAAATACATTGTCTTTACTTTGTAGACAGAGATCATACAATTTAATTCTACAAATATGTAACTATGTGAACAGTATGACAGCTGCTAATTTCTCACTTATAAACTACTAAATAGATTGTATGTACTATTTGTCTGTAATTTTATATAAACCTTAACTTTGTATTTAAATATCCAATCAGAAACCAGAATGAGCTTTATTTAGAGCCTTCCACTTTGGGTGAAAAAGTCTAAATTTTTTACCCTAGCTGCCTCTCTATGGTCTTAAGTCATTAATGTTATTATTTCAAGATTACTCATCAATCTGTTTACCTTAATACACACATTATAATCTTGTAAATACAATTTCTTATTCACCCTTTGAGTTTATTTTTGTTTTTACTTTTAAATTACTCAATATATGCATACTATATTCCCAATATGCGCAACTTTGGTGATAACAAAAGTTCACAATTTCAAATAATTGTAAATGGTTTGGTTTCTCTCTTTCAGGCCTACATTTGCCTGTGGAGGCGAGCTGGTCGCGGACTCAGGTTTTATTGGGAGTGAGGCCTTTCCAAACTTCTATAAGCCCAACAGTAAATGCACCTGGTACATCACGGTGAGTAACTTACCCTGCACGATCCTGCCTGTTGACTCAGTGGGATTTTTATTCTTGGCTCTTTTCAGGTCCCAAAGGGAAACGTAGTAACTCTGTCTTTCCGGATCTTTGACTTGGAAGCTGACTCACAATGCCGCTATGACTATTTGGATGTTTACAATGGTCACTCGCATCTGGTACAGAAACTGGGGCGCTTCTGTGGGACATTTCGACCCGGGAATCTCATCTCCACCACAAACACCATGATGCTGGAGATGGTCAGTGATGAAGCCACACAGGGAAGAGGATTTGTGGCCTACTTTAGTGGTACCAAACCTTATGTGGATGGTAAGTGCTAATGTAATCATTTGATGCTGTACTATTCATACTATGAATGATGTCCAGGCCAAAATGTGTGTCATACTGCACATACAACGTGTATAAGTAAGACAAATAGAAACTTTCAAGAATAATTATCTATAAAGAAACACATTTACTAACCCTGGGCATGGAAGTCCTTCTAGACAATATCTTCTGGATCTGTATATTTTGGCCTGAAAAAGAAAAAGAAAAGCACATTTATGTTTGTTTAGAGTCAAACATGCACAGGAATCCTCTATCTCAGCCTGAAAAAGCCTGGCTCTAGGATCTGAAGAAGATGTTTTTCTTCCCAAAGTTTTTCTGACTCCAAATCTGTGCATTTTTATGCATTTAAAAAAAGAAAAAGAAACATATGTTTAAAACATCTGTATACACTTAATCACCATGTTATGACCATTTAAAAAAATATTGGATAGACTTTTCCTTAAAGAATCTGGAAAAAAAACTGTGAAAAGAAGCAGTGAGGAGGTCTTACTGCTGCTGATGCTAACAGCTCTGGCTCCGCCGTCAAGCAGGGACCAGACGGCCCTCAGCAAAGGGCCCTGGACCCCGTACTCCCAGAGAACCCCCACAAAGGACATGGTCAATCACCTTATCAAGAATTCTATTTCATTGAAATGGATTATTTGGTTAATTTTTGTATTTTACTTTAATTTTCTATATTTGCAGCATTTGTTTTTCATGCAGAGGTGAATACCATCTGCACTGAAGGCAAAATTCTTTCTTAATTAATATCAACATTTTATCTCACATAGAAACCACTTGTTAGATTTGAACTATGAATGAAATTTTTTCCTTAGACATATATTTAATATAATTTAATTTGTGCTGTGTAGAGCCAGTCCTAACCAATAAGCAGACTTAGCAGTTGTGTAGAGCCCCAAAGCTGATGTACTTCGCAAGTAAAGAAGGGAACGTTCACTTGTTTTACAACCAGTACCAGCAGCAGGTCCGGTGCATGGACCTGCTCGAAAACTAGATGGCACATCTCTAGGGGCATCCATTAATAAACTAAACTAAACTAAACTTTTCAGATGCATGTGGGCAGGGACGCCATTTGTAGAAAACAATGATGTCTCAGGCATGAATGAGGGTTGAACATGAACTGTTTTAACCATACGTCTTCATCAGAAACCTTGAATTTTGGAAATGTTGTTAAAACAATATTGGTCAATGGGACAAGAAAAAATGTCTTGTCTATTAAGAAAAAAAATTGCTAATTGAATAATACAAATGTACTCATTTTACTGAAATTGAGATGAAATCAACGCAAAGAGAATGGCAGGGAGGTGACCAGGGCCCCTGGAGTAACTTTTTCTGGACCCCTAAATGCTTGGAAGGAAAGCATATAAGTTAATTTATAACTTGATCAATTAAAGGTAATAATCTTAGTATTAATGATTCATGTGTGATTTAGAGCAGCAGACTTGCGGAGGAAAAATCACCAAATCCCAAGGAGAAATCATGACTCCCAACTGGCCCAGCGACAAGTACCCAGCAGGAACAAGCTGCTCCTGGCTCATCACAGTGGAGCCTGACATGGTCTGACACACACACAAACACAGACACACACACACAGTCAGACAAGGGTATACCCCATCATAGCCTGTACCTTGGGGAAATTCAGCATTGCACGCAGAAATGAATCTTCCTGTGATCTCTTATAAGATAAAGAACAAACAACATACATGTAACTTCGTCATGATATTTTATTACATTGTTTAGATTGTAGATGTATTAGATTGTTTCAATTCGGTTTGATCACTACATTATCAAACAAATAAAGTGATGAGACTGAAATAATCTCTGGAGCCATGCCTTTAAATGTTCCTGTCTTTCTGTCCAATTTACACTAGGCGATTCAAGTCAAGTTTGACAAGTTTGCCGTTGAAGCCGACACTTACTGCAGGTTTGACTATGTGGCGTTCTACAATGGCGGGGAGAGAGATGACTCCCAGCTCATAGGGAAATACTGTGGAGAGAAAGCTCCACTGTAAGTACTACATGTTTTACCCTGTGAAGCCACATTAGTAACACACCTCCTTGTGAATCCTAGGCCAATCGTCACCAGTGGAAATGTCCTCCTGGTCCAGTTTGTGTCTGACTCCAGCGTGACGTCAGATGGATTCTTGGTCCAGTACACCAGCTTCCCCCAGGGCTCTTCAGTGCCATCACACCCAAATACAAGAACTATTCCTTTAGTGCCCATAATCAAACCTTACATACCTACAGAATCAGTCACAACGACTAAGGCACCAGTTCCCCCTCCTCTTCCCACTTTTACACCCAAACCAGTGAAGCCCACTAGAGGGCGCGGTTCAGCCTCAGCCCCGGTCACCAGGCCTAATGGAAGGAAACCAGGTAAGTCATCACATGTACTTTTACTTTACTTAAATAGTCAAGGATAAAGGATTACTTGATACAGAGACCCAAACTGTATAAATTAAGATTATAAAAAAAAATCCTAAATATTAGCTTTCATCAAAACTGTTAGCTAGCTTATTAAATGTTCAACAAATAATACATCTCTCTATAGCCTGCATCACAAGAAAAGTCGCTGTTAGATGAGTTAGTGAATGAGTTAGTGGAGGTGACGTGTATCTTACTCATTGTTCTATCTTCACCGTGCTGCGTGTTATTATTATACATAGTTCCTACATGACGTCACTACATACGGGGATTTGCCGACCCGGCGCCATTTGTGTTGGCATTCTGTGGGCAAAACAATAGAAAAAGAAGCTGAAACGTGTTAATGTCGTGATAAAGTTGAAAATGGTCATCTCCTGCTGGGTCAATGGATGTTCAAATCGTGCCGGAGGTTCTGTTAAACTTGGATTTTACAGTATACCCATCATTAGACTTCATGAATGTGAGAAGACTAAGCTTTTGTCAGAACAACCACGGAGGTTATGGCTTGCGAAGATAAACAGGCAAGAAACTCCCTCAAAACACGCAAGAATATGCTCGGAGCACTTTGTGTCAGGTGCGTATCGTATCTTATAATGTGTTGACAGACGTAATTTACTCAGTACTAACTTGTGTATGCTGATATCTGGTAACTTGAGAGTTTCATTATTTAGCGTTAGATTACTTTATTATGAGGAGGATCGGTGTCGCGTCCGAGGCTCTCGAGGGCAACGTAAATGTATTAAATAGATAATAATAGTTCTATGGTGGGCTAAAACAATGTTCACAAACAGCATTGCTTCTGTAAAAAGATCCATCCATCCATTTTCTACCCTTTAATCCATTTCTGGGTCAGGTCAGTTGCCCACCATTCACCAAAACATACGGTCAAAAACGCGGAAATAAACAATAACAGCAATCCAGAGTGTCCGTGTGGCATTAGCATTAATTAAATTAATTGTTAATATAATTAAAATAATTAAATGGAGCTCCAACTGGTATTAAATCTAAAGTTTTTGAGAAATGTTTGCATTGCTTGTTAATTTTTGCTGCATAATTTGATCAAATATGTAAAACATGTCCGTAGCACGTTAAACTGTGGTGCCATTGTATTAATATACAATTATTTGCTCAAAAGTTGCCCTTTTTTTCCAATTTGCGTTTGAATATCTACATTTATTCTCATTCTTCTGTTTAATGGAATGCACAAACACAGCAGCGTGCCATCAAAGATGGCGTCTCCGAGGAGGTCATGTGACATTCATTGGTCTGTGGGAACTATGTATAGCTCCATGGCCGCGTGCCGTCTGACCTGTCTGGCTGCATCCGATTTAAGAAAACATAGATCTCCATATGACCTCGTTCCCTGTAATGATTGTGCTTTTTCCAAACAGGGTTACTCAAGTGCAATAACAACTTTTAATATATTTTGATGCCCCTTAGGTCAAAGTGCATGATTCAAAAATGAATAAACATAAAAGGAAGGATAAGGAAGGAGGTAATTGAGTTGATTTCAGATGTAGACACCCTCACGGTCTGGGATTTTATTTCGCAGATACAACATATGTTATAAAGACATAAAAAACGAGCAAAAAGAACAAGATATACCTTCCTAAATCTTCATCAAAATGACAACATAATAAAGTGTAGTTAGTAGGTCGAATGGGGGTGAGGGGTGTTCGACTTACTAACTGGTGCAACATTTCAGGTCACACTTTTAAAGAAATCCATCATTTTGCTCCTTATACAGAGGTTGAATGTTGTGGAAGGCCAGTTCTAGCTGATTTTATAGTGTATGAGATGCTGCAAAGATGGATGCAGAAATCACAGTAAATAGATTAAAAAACACTATAAAAATGAAACAAAAATCAGTTAAGTTAAACAGAACAGAACATTAAACATTGGTACAGGATGTCCTTAGTGCAATGCAAAAGCACACATTGTATTGCAGTGCGCTAATCTAGATAAATTATAGCCATAGTCTATAACCAACTGATCAATTGAAAGAAAAGAATGCTTGATAACTTTGGCCAACAGCTAGATTTGAGTCACTTGCTGATATTGAATAATAAAATCTACACTCCTCTGCAGGCCCCCAGAACCCTCTCTGTGCCAAAGCCTGCAAAAGAGATGGAAATATCAAGACTAGTTTCTGTTCAAGTGAATTTGGTAAGCTCATCACCACTTCACTCTAGGAGAGAGGCGTCAGTTTCATGTAAATAACACTTATGATGCTTTTTAGTCATAACTGGAAAGGTCAACTCTCTGTCTCCTGGACCTCATGGCACTGTCAACGTGGGTGTGTCCCTCATCAAGGCGTACAAATCGGGCCGCCTTGTCTTTTCCCAAGTAGGGGAGACCATGTCTGTGAAGCTGCAGTCGCAGTGCAGAAAGTGCCCACTGCTCCGAAGAGGTATTGCACCGGATTAACTACTTACGTAAAATTCATGAAATAGTTGAATAAATTGACTTTTTTTTAAAGGTTCTAATTACATCATCATGGGCCAAGTGGATGAGGAGGGACGTGCTACACTGGCACCTGGTGCATTCACGGCTCCCTACAAACCCCAGCATCACAATCTGTTAATGAACATCAACAACCAGCCCTGTTAGTTTCAACCCAGAACATATACTCTAATATAATGTGAAATATATAAGCACCAAGCAGTCCATGACATGATTTATTCTCCATAAAACACATTTTAAGGCACACCAAAACCTTGTATTTGTAATTTATATGAATAAAGGTTGTTTAAATAATGTGGTGTTTTTACTGTAAAATGCATTCCCTCCATTCTGACCTTTTCATTGTCTTTAACGCCATCTAGTGTGTATATTTGGTAACTACACATGCAGTTCTATTGACAGTGGTCGATGGTGAGTCTCTAGACGAGACCAGAGTCTAGACTCTAGACTCTGAGGCTTAGCCTGTAGTCCATGGACGGATGGATAGTAATAACCATAATAATACTAGTAATGAACACTTACATTACAAAAGTAATGAAACATACATGTGCTGTTCATAAACAGTTTTATTCATGTTATAAAAATATGTTAAAACATCAATGAAAAATAGTATGCAGATAGTATAAAAATATGAGTTTGTACAATTGCTTCAAAATGAACTAGACTGAAGACCGCCCAGAGAGCCCATCACACCCACACACTGCCTTTGGCCTCTCCCTCTGCTGCCCCCTGCTGTCTGCAGCAGCCTCCTGTGGCCCTATGGCGGGAGGCAGGCAGGTTCTTGTACACAGCGCGGCTGTAAGGGATGAAGCACAGGCCCAACTGCAGGTGACGGGCCAATCTGCAATAGGCAGCCAGAGCCAGAACCAACAGAGGGGTCAAGAGCAGAAAGCCCACCACTAAGAGGGCCACACAGCCCCCATCGTCCAGCAGGTCTGAGCAGTACACTGAGGTTCCGTGTGGCTGCACCTGGACACACACACAGACACATTCATTATATACTATCTAGTCACTTAGCACCTTTAGTAACAACGGGTCCATTCCAAAAGTACATACTGTTATACAAAAGTTAACATACAAATCGAAACTTTTGTCTGCGCGGTCATTCAGTCTAGCACAGAAAGAGTTCAGGAAGGTCCATTTTGTCTTCTTAGTAGTTTAGGTTATTTGGTTCTTCTATACCAAACAAGAAGAATCGAATAACTTTGAACAGAATCAATCTAATTTTCTTGGCATCACAGAGCCATAGCCAAAGGACAGAGGTTAATGTAGCCACAGCTGCAACACATTAAGCTGGTCTTCACAAAAATCTAATAAGTCCCTAGAAAACAGTGTCAAATGGTTGTAAAAATATTGTCTTTATTTAGGTGCCAGTGGCATTCCATAGTGCCGGCCTACTACCTGACTCTCCACCTCACATCCTTCCTGAAGAATAGAAATAGCCTTTAGAGGGACTCACTGTGGAATGGCAGAGGAAGCCGAATATGATCATGACCAGAGCCGGGGTCAGGATGGTGCCGAACACTACACTGGCCAGGAGTCCATTGATGAGGGCGATGATGAGGTTCTGAGCAGTGACCAGCACAGAGCAGGCCCAGCAGTCCAGAGAGCCGCGTAGCTCCAGGGGGCTCTCTGCTTCACTGCCCCCCAAAGAGTACGGAGGGGGCACCACCACCCCTGACCCTGCTCTGGAGGGGATCCTCATCTCCGGCTGGCTCTGCTCTGACACAGGCTTCTCCAGTGTCCCGTTACGCGACAAACTCATGGTGGGATCCTGTCCAAAAAAATCAGAACCCATTTTTGTTATGGATTCAAGACATTTTCTCCACAAAGACTTTTGTTATTCATTTTGAGCTCCTTCATTTTCGAGTAGTCTACACAACAAAACAGTGGGAAGCTGTGTGCATTAGATAATGTTTTTTACTTAAATACTGTGCTGAAAGGTTTGAAAAGTCTCCATAGATAACCGGCATGCTGTTAGTGGGAGGAAATGAGCAGCAGTGACCCCACCTCCAAACTTCAGGAGAAACGAATAACATGAACAATGAGCTGCAAACAGCTGGGCATTGTTGAGAAAAGTCTAAACTAAATATATACAGTATGTGAGAATGTCATGTTTGACCAATCACACGACCAAATCATCATTCATCTACTGTCCTGGGCCTTCAGCAGTAAAGCCACAGTAAAGCCACAAAGAAAGTTCACAATTAAGTTACGGTTAGCATCACTCACAATCTCTTTGAAAATCACATCATTATCATCTGTTTTATGATATGATTGATTATACAGATATAAAATTGCAGTTTTGCTACATATTTGATTGTTCATCAATGTGAGTTGTTCCAAATACGATAAATACTTGTGCAATATATACACTATAGTTCATGTTATTTTCTTCTCATTCTGTTTTTTTCCCCTGAAGAAAGGTGTCTGTGTAGAATATGAATATGTCCACTGTAGCCATTAAACTAAATTAACGCTTAATTAATGCTCCAAAGTGCCTTAAGAAAATAAGATGTCTACTCTAATGCTCCAAAGTACCTTAAGATGTCTACTCTAATGGAATCATACTTGCCACCTTCACAAAGTTAATTTTGCTTTATTCAAAAATACATTCTTTTGTTGTTTGTAAGCTTAAAACATATAGTTTTGCAAAAAAATATATGCAATTTGTGTCTACTCAAGCTCATCTATATGGATTCAAGTTGAAGGCAGCAGTTATAAGCAATAGTTATCAGTTATCAGTTATAAGCAATAGCAATAGTCATAGATCAGTGTTTAGTCCATGCTGAACTCACTGTGCTGTGGTTTGTGTCCCTCTGAAGGCTCTGTAATAAGATCCTCAGACCTGGACAGCGGTCTCCAATCCACGTGCCCGCCCGGAGATGGCTCTTCTGTCTTCTGCCTGGTCCTGTTGAAGGTATATAAAAAAAACACCAGATCTGCCCCCCGTGGCTTGTACACAGCACCTTCGCTCAGACCTGGCACACTGGGTCAGACTCGAAGCAAATAGTGCTTTCCTACAGGCTTCAGTGCTTCCTTCCCTGACATTCTGCTTCCTGTCCGTGACTCCACTCTCAGATACGGAGATGTGTGTGCGTGTATCCTGTGGGCCGCTAATGCAAATGACTGATGTGTGTGAGAGGGAAAGAGAGGGAGCAGGGGGGCACTGGAGGTTTAGTCTGATAACCCCAGAGCCCCGCTGTGGAGCCAGGGGGAGGGAGGAACACTGTTTATTTGGACAGATTAGAGGAGTCAGGGTGTGCTGCTCAATCCCCAACACTTTACACCAGCACACAGCACTTTCTCTACTCCAAATACTGATAACTGGGCTGCTTTTGAAACTCAAATAACTGCCACAGCGTGATCATTTCTCATCTTATAAAATGGTAATGAATTTACATAATGATAGCATTCCTCAACTGGAATGTGTGGAGCAGGTCTTCACTCTCAGGGGCCACTATTAAGTTTATGAGAGAAATTCTCACCAGCATTGATATGATTTAATTTGCCAAATTCTTTCATTTGTTTCAAATCATCAGAAATTCAGGCAATATAGTCTATAAGTAGAAGGGCTAAACAATGGTTATTATGATTATTATTAGTTTTTTTTCAACAACAAAATAACCCCAAACCCCAATGGTCACAAACATACAGTGACAGTTAGGGGTGTGACGATATATCGATTTTTTGATATATCGCGATGCTTTCTCCCGCGATTCGATTATCTATATGCATTTGCCAAGTATCGATATGTTACAAATTATTTTTTTAAATTGGTATCAATACTTAATATATGGCTATATTACGCATCTCCATTCCATTTATCATGAAATAAAGTGTATTTTTTCTTTTATTTATGCCATAAATTGGCATATTGAATATTTCTGACCAATATATCGATAATCGTCATATCGTGATAATATCGTTATCGTGATAATATCGTTATCGTGATAATATCGTTATCGTGAGCTATGTATCGTGTATCGTATCGTGAGGTACCCTTAGGTTCCCACCCCTAGTGACAGTGACCATAAGAAGATCCAACATCTGTGTAGTATGCAATCTTTAAGTATATGGTAATTAAATTGAGGCAAAATGAATGTCCCTACAATTTTTCATAGTATTTCAAAGCTGGGGTATCTAACTTAATCTGTATCTAACTCATGAATCTGCTACTTGCTAATTTACCCATAATATGGTGGTGGCAATCGGTCTGTCTCCCATAGAAGCTGGAGGTAGACCTGCACTAGTTGTAGAAGACTTTTTAAGCTTTGTTTTTGTTCAATTTATTTCTGAAGGTTTATGGAAATGGATTTTCATAGATTTGTTTTATTTTTTATATTTGTGTGCATTAGATCAATGGCATGTGCCTCCCCCGGCCCGCAAAGCATTATGGTATTGCGCAATTTGTTAAAAGTACATTTTTGTCTCAACAGAAAGTAAAATGTTGTGAACAAATCAGACCAAAACAGGCTGTCTTCTTCTTCTTAGAAAACACTGAAGAAAACATTCTTGCAGAATGCAGAAAGGGTAAGGAGTGCTGCGTGGTACAAGTGTGTAAAATTATTTAAAAGACCAGGTGCTCAATTGGAAGAGGGGTCTAACTTATTAACCAAAAATTTAGTTTTGACTTTCCAGGTAAAAAGCAAATGCTGAAGAACTTAGAACTTGTGAGTCACTTTGACGCTAAGAGCAGACTGGCTGAGTCTGAATTGTCCTCTCTTTGTCATTTATTTTTAATTTTTTTAAAGGCCAAACAATAAACACACGTGAACACTAGTGATATAGGCAGACTGTTTTTAGAGTGAGGAACTTGTTAAATGGATTTTAGTACAAAATTGTTTGTGGTACCAGCTTTAAGTAAGTAATATTTTTGTATGTATTTATACAGCACATTTTACAGACCAAAGTCCTCCAAAGTGCTTTACCATGTTTAGAGTGTAGTTATTTTTCCCTTCACTCCAGACTCACTCATTACATTCATACCTATTGTACATATTCTTAGTATTAGAGTGAGAGTGAGCACGCGTTTTGACGTCTCTGCTCTGTTCACCCTTTTAAGCCTTTTAAAGCCTTTTAAACACGTTTTTACGGTGTATTAGTGTCTTTTGTACACTCTAGTGTTTTATTATCTTAAATGCAATGGTTCCAGAGCATTACGTCTTTTAACACAAAGACCAAATCGAAACGCGCTAGCTCGGAGGCTACCACGAGCGCACCACAGACATGGAAAGTGACACTGCAATGACCACGAACGACATTAGTCGCCTCACATTGGAGCTTCGTGAGAGGGACCGTGCCACTATTGCAGACCTCCGTAAAGAAGTCCTTCGCCTCACTGCAGAGCTGCAGGACAAACAGTCACTCGTGTCCAAACTTTTTGATGTTGCTGGCGGGCAACACTCACGGCTTATGTCACTGAGCGCTGCATACTGTGACACTGTCGTGTGGGAGAGATCTGTCAGCTCTGGACTCTCCTGTTCTACACCTAAGTGCCCGGTTCGGAATAAAGAGCCTGCGGACTGCGAGGAGCCATCCAGCGCCGTGGCCCATGTCCTGAGCCTGTCAAACCGCTATGCAGCCCTCTCCGCTGACATCCCAGCCCCCTCAGCAGAACCCCTGGACTCTGCAGCAAACTCTACTGCTGTCCGTGGATCCAGGTCCACTGCGAGAAAGACACTCTTAAAGGAAGCTGTCCTCAGACGAAAGAGTGGTCATTCCCCTTCTCTGACCCCAGTGCATCACCACCACTTACCTTCACCGGGTCAGCAGCAGCGACCCGAGCCTGCTCCTCACGCCGCTCCAGCGTCCCCGAGCACACAGCGTGGGTTGCCCGGAGCTGAGAATCAACACCCCCACTCTTCTCCATGTGTTCAGCAGCGCCCTGGTTCGGACCCATCCCTGGATGAGCCCGCTGGTTCTGGCCATGGACACCGAGCGCCTTCTCCGCGGCCGCGTCCACTTTTCGCCCCGACTACTTTGATCGTTGGAGATTCCATCGTGAGGCACGTCCGCTTTTTTAACGCGGTCACTCACTGCATTACCGGAGTTACAGTCCCAGATCTGCTCATCCGTCTCCCTCCTCTGCTTCACTCCCTGCCCGATACCATATCCAAGGTAATCGTGCATGTGGGTATAAATGATATGAAGCTGCAGCAGTCAGAGGTCACAAAGAAGCACTTTATGAATCTGTTCCGCCTCCTCCAGTCCTCCGGGTTGTGTGTTTTTATCTCTGGTCCAGTCCTGACTGTAAACCGGGGTGACTGCCTCTACAGTCGCGTTGTGGCGCTCAACATGTGGCTCCAGTCTACATGCAGCACTTTTAACTTTATTTTTGTGAACAACTTTGGCCTGTTCTGGAAGCGTCACGTGGCCTATCGTCCAGATGGTCTGCACCCGAACAGATACGGCACCAGTTTGTTGACGGACTTCCTGCGCCATGTTGTTCAGTGCTCCCCGAGGGGGACGTGACTGTTTACATCCGAGGCTTCTCGGCCCCCACCACCCCCCTCCTCTTCCTTACCAGCACCGGGTGAGTACTGTGGTGCAAACACTGACCCCTGTCCGTCTGGCAGTGTAACGACAGTCCTGCCACTGAACTGTGCTGACTCAGTTATGCATCTGGAACTTAACAAAGTACAACAGAGTTCACTTTTTAAACCAATAGAGACTGTGTGTGTTCCTCGCACCAGCTCAGAAATGTGTTTTAACTTGAATAAACACAAATTTAAAAGAAGGACAGCAGTTAGACGGTCCAACTCTGGAAATCTAATTCCAGTTCTTTGTAATCAATCAACTAAACCCACTGACACTGATATTAATTTTAACCTTGCTCTACTTAATGTCAGATCACTATGCAACAAATCATTTTTAATTAATAATTTTATCTGTTCGTATGATCTTGATTTTATGTTTATGACTGAAACATGGCTTGACCATAATACAGGAGATGCAGTTTTAATAGAAGCCTCACCACCAAATTTCAAATTTGAATATGAAACACGAGAAAATAAAAGGGGGGGGGGCATAGCAGCAGTTTTTAAAGATCGTATTGTCTCCCATAGGGTGTCTCTTGGGAAATTTTCATCATTTGAGTATGTTTCTTTTAAAATAGAACAAAAGAAATCTTCTTCCATTCTTATTATTGTTGTGTACAAGCCGCCACAGTCATGCCATAGTTTCACTGATCATTTCACTGAGTTGCTTTCAGTTGTGTGCACAGATTTTGATGGTTTAGTCATTATAGGCGATTTTAATATTCATGTGGATAATGTTAATGACAGATACGCAAAAGAGCTGAGTTCCATACTTGAATCCTTTGGCCTCACTCAGCATGTGAGTGGCCCCACCCATAGCAGAGGACACACCTTGGACCTGCTTATCACGAAAGGGGTGAATATTTCAAAAGTTAATGTAGTTGATGTTGCTCTGTCGGATCATTTCTGTGTATTTTTTAACATGTGTTTTGCTACCAGACCACCCGCTAAATATGAAATTGTTAGAAGTAGACACTTAAATGAAAACACGGGTGAACTATTTATGGGAATGATCCATTTTGAGAACACATCATGTTCTACTGTAGATGAACTGCTTAACTCTGTCACCTCTAGTGTGTTGAATGTTCTGGACGCCATTGCCCCTGTGAAGGTAAAAATGGTCACAAATAAGCAAAAAGCCCCATGGATAAAAGCAGGCCCGGTCAGGGCACAGAAGCAAGAGTGCCGGAGAGCAGAGAGAAAGTGGAGAAAGTCCAACCTCCAGGGTGATTATAGACTCTTAAAAGAGAAGTTGTGTGAGTTTAACAGAGTACTACGTAGAACAAGAGAATTATACTTTTCTGAAACTATTGAAGGCTGCAGCAACAATCTGCGTGTTCTATTTTCAACAATCAATAGATTAACGAACCCCCCTGTTGAGTTGCCATTAGAACACTACTCCAAATCCAGGTGTAATGAGTTTGCACAGTTCTTCAGAGACAAGGTTCAGGGTATCAGAAATGCCATCACCTCTACAACACAAGTAACAATGCAACATCCAGTGAGGCTTTGTGAGCTAGCTCAATTTGCACCTGTCAATGATGAAACTGTTAAAAAGATAATCACAGGTCTTAGTTCCTCTACCTGCAGTCTGGATGTACTACCTCCTAGATTTCTGAAGTCTGTTATGTGTAGTCTATTACCCTCATTGACACAAATAGTAAACATGTCTTTTTTATCTGGAACATTTCCAATGGCCCTGAAAAAGGCAGTCATTAGGCCCCTCCTAAAAAAGAGCAGTTTGGATGCTGCGGTACTTGAAAATTACCGTCCCATCTCAAATCTGCCTTTCATGGGAAAAATTCTTGAAAAAGTTGCCTACCAACAACTTACTGAATTTTTAATATCTAATGACTCATTTGACATGTTTCAGTCTGGCTTTAGACCACACCACAGTACTGAGACCGCTCTAGTCAAGGTAACAAATGATATTCGGCTTAACACTGATGCAGGAAAAGTCTCTGTTTTAGTCATGTTAGATCTGAGTGCCGCTTTCGACACCGTTGACCATGAGATTCTCATGCAGAGACTGGAGGACTGGGTTGGTGTTGCTGGTACCGCCCTAAGCTGGTTTAGGTCCTATCTAGAAGAAAGGAAGTACTGTGTGGAGATTGGAAACTATGTCTCAGATAATATGGCCCTGACCTGCGGAGTGCCACAGGGGTCGATTCTGGGACCTCTCCTGTTCAATATTTACATGCTGCCATTAGGTCAGTTAATTCAAAGTATGAAAGTGTCCTACCACAATTACGCTGATGACACTCAGATCTATGTCTCACTGACTGCAGGAGAGCATGGGCCGGTGGACTCACTCCTTCGCTGTATCCAGCGGATCAGTGAGTGGATGCAATGCAATTTTCTCCAGCTAAATGCGGACAAAACCGAAATGATTGTCTTTGGTCCCGAGAAACAAAGAGAGACCGTCATTTGTCACCTTCAGTCTCTCTCCCTAAGGCCCTTAAATAAGGTCAGAAATCTGGGAGTAATAATGGACTCTGACTTAAACTTCAATAGCCACATTGGATCGGTAACATCAGCAGCTTTTTATCATCTGAAAAATATTGCCAAAATTAAAAATATTGTGTCCAGGGCAGACTTGGAGATTCTTATCCATTCTTTTGTTTCCAGTAGGCTGGATTACTGCAATGGCCTGCTCACAGGTATCTCCAAACATGCAGTAAGACAGTTGCAGTATATTCAAAATGCTGCAGCCCGAGTCCTGACTAGAACCAGGAAGTACGACCACATTAGTCCGGTCCTCAGGTCTCTGCACTGGCTTCCCGTGGCCCAGAGGATAGACTTTAAAGCAGCTCTCCTGGTGTACAAGTCTCTCCATGGCCTTGCACCAAAGTACATCCATGATATGCTAGTCTCATATGAACCAGCCCGGACTCTGAGGAGCGCAGGGACGGGACTCCTGTTAGTGCCCAGAGTCAGGACTAGACAGGGGGAGGCTGCTTTTCAGATTTATGCAGCTGGAGTCTGGAACGGTCTTCCTGAGGATGTGAGACTGGCTGCCTCTCTGTCAATGTTCAAATCCATGTTAAAGACTTTTCTTTTTTCCCGTGCATACAACTAGAGAATTTTATCTTTTTAACACACCTTGTTATTTATTGTTGTAACTTTTTGTGTTTTTAACTATTTTATTGTTTTTAATTACTTGTGTGATTTTTATGTTTTTAAATTACTTATGTGATTTTAATGCTTTTTAATTACATATGTGTTTTTAATTGTATTTTAATGGTGATGATTTGTGCATTGTGTGGTGTGGACTGTGAGGCGCTTTGTGTTGCCCTGTGCAGGAAAAGCGCCCTATAAATAAAGATTGATTGATTGATTGATTGATATTAGGGGAAACCGGAGCAGACACGGGGATAACATACTATACAGAAATCGAACCCAGTACCTTCTTTCTGTGAAACCTGCATTTCTCGAGTGGACCAGTACAATCGGTCCAAGTCTATAAGTCGTATGGCACTAGTGTCACAGATACTCACGTTACAAGTCTCTGGAACTTATGGAACTATACAAAGTGTTAAAGGTTTATGGAGGATTTTCTTCTTCCGGGTGGATCATCTAGACTATTGGTCCTTCTAATTGTCAATCATTCTGGTGATATGCGAGACATGTTTTAATAGGAGTTTCCTCTGAGGAGAGCGGTTCGTTCCTAAAATTTGCAAAGACCCTCCTTTATACCTTTAACATCAAAATTCCTTTTCAAACGGCCCATTCCCTGCTGTTCGGTGCCCGGGTCTAAGTGAGATGTCAAAGGCCATGTCACGGTTGACCACTGGTTGGAGAAACGACCCCTGCCCTTCTGATGAAAAGCAGCTCTGGCCTCTGAAGTAAATGAGGATGGGGGGTGGCTGACCAATTTGGTGGCGTAAAGAGGCTAGTATCATGGGACTGATAAGAACCCAACAGGACAAGTTCAAAGAGTGAAATCACTTATTATGATTCTGAAGTTCCCTTTTTTCTTTCCACTAATGGTATCTGTTGTTTTATTTGTTTTCCTAAGAGTCCAGATATGCCTCCCCCTGAGAATGCAGTGATGAAAGGCTGTAACAACTGCAGCTGATGTATATCCAAGTCACATCCAACTTACTTCATAGGGCAGTGATATTACAATTATGTTGTGCGTTTCTTGGGGGTTAGCAGAGGAAGAGCAGTTTTCCTGTCCTTGGAAGCGGGATATCCGTAGCTGCTCCTGGTTTACGTTGAACATCTGCACATTTGGCCATCTCCTTTCCCCTCACATTTGACCTGAGAAGTCAACAACATGAAACAGCAGTGGGGATAGATGTAGTAACATCCTGTATGTTCTGATCGACACTTCATGCATTATGTTTTGTCTCAGTGGCAGCAGGATAATCAGTGAAAAAAGTCATACTTTCTGGAGCAGTTTGCTTTGCTTGGCTTTTTAAATGGAGCAGCTGCAGCTTTGACAAGATGGTATCAGAAAAATGCTGGAGGGGGAGGAAAATGAGAAATGCCACTTTTTCACTCCCACAGTCCTCAGTGAAAGAAGGAGCACGGCCCATCAGCGCTCTCCAGTGGTCAGCCTTGGAACTGCAGCGGGCGGATGAAAGATGACAGAAATGCAGCTGTTAATCAAAAACACCATATTGATTTAGGGATAGTATTAATAACAGTGGGAATCAAGTTAGCAAAAGGGTTCTAAAGTGTGTGGTATAATGCATCACAAAAAGGCTTGCCAAAAGAAAATAAAAACGGGATGTAATGAAACCGCAAAAATAATTTATCTGCACAATTCTTTAACAATCCAAATACTTAATTATTGGAATTTTAGTGATTTAATATATGCAGCCTGTTGCTTCTAGATGGTATGGCTTTATTAAGTCTGTCCTCCATTGGCTTAAAGGTCACTATAACAGAAGAGCCGTGTTTATAAAGTAAAAGGTAAAAAACAGAATCCACTACTTCTCAAAAGCAGAAGAACCTGCAACACCAGAAACCTCTAGCACAGTTTGAGGATGCTGGTTGGTGCAGCCTTTGGTGCAGGGGGGTTCTATGTGTGATATTCTGTTACAAATTATTATAGTTACAATTCATGAATACAAATAATAGCACAACAGTTACTCCACTGACATAAAAATCCAAGTGCATATACACATTCCCGTTACAATGCATTCATACTTTATCAAAATCTTTTTTTTATTTCTTCAACAACAATACAATATATCACAGAAAATTCACAGAGGGATTTAAGACAGGTCTGGCTCAGGTTTTCTCTATGTGACTTCTGAAAGAACTAAGTGCAGTAGAAATCAAACAAGTTAATGGAAAGAAACACAACAATCAAATTATTCATGAGACAAGACATGGGAAATAAAAATCTATGCCTTTACAAGTCAGATCCCTAAAAGTCTCGGCCACGGTGTAAGAATTACGCTTAAGTTAAATCACTAATGCCTCACTTTGACTTTAATACAATGAGAGAGAGAGAGAGAGAACAAATACATCATTTAATTAATGTAACCAGCATTGTAATGGTTCATAGAAGCACCAGAAGTGTGTGAGTTTAGTCCATACATCATGTAATGCTGTTGATGTGGGGCACTGAGGCAAGGAGGGGTCTAGCACCGTGTAAATGAACCCGCACCGATTGCACAAGCCCTCTCCACTCTCCTATTGTTGCACGTTTGAAAATACCTTGTAGCCCCTTGTTACATGAAGTACCCATGATATGCAATAAATATGTCAGAAGAAAACAATGTACACTATAAATAATGTTAGCATATACAATGTTCTCTTATATCCAACAAAAAAGAGGTATAAAAGTGGGCTCAGACACCCACAGTAATAAGGAGAATATACTAGATTATAGCAACAACAAAGCAGAAGCAAAGTGTTCAAACAATATAAACAATACATTTGACTGGGAACAAAACTACATTGGTTCTTGCATTAGACTTTCAAACAATACATTATGTACACTGCATGGTATGCACAGAGTGATGAGTGAACCCGCTATACACAAACTACAGTTTAATGTATTGACTGCACTGTACAGAAGCATTAGCATGACCTTAAATGTAAAGAAGTGTGTCATGATTGCAGAATTTAGATTTATTCCCCATTCTCTTAAAATAATAAAATTCAGATTTGTCTTTCAGAGAATCCGACCCATTCAAAGTAAGATCTACTATGGTATGGTGAAACCCTTTTGCACAGTAGTGTCTATTTATTTATTTACAAGACATTTCCACTGTAAAACAGCCTGTCTGTATGTTTAGGAGCAGGCCTAACATGTCTTGCTAAACTAAACCTATGTCGACGATAGGAGCAGTGCACAATGTGAGGACAGTTAGCAGCAGAGGTAAATGCTGAAGCTCACTTGCATGCTTTGATTGTGTGTCTCCGAGGACATTATTACTTCAACAAACTTGAAGGAGCTCAGCAATCACTTTGTACTGCATCTGTGCACACCAATGAGAACTCTATAAATTAATACACAATTTACATTTTATAGTAACAAGAGAACATAAGAGGTATAAAACTGGGACTATAATCCCATTCCAAAAATAAAACTGTTTTCTTTTGTGTACAATAGAAACAACACCAAACACTATAATCTGGAATTAAAATGGTAGTTTCCTACACAGATTTCCAACTAAGAATAAAACCATATTAGTCCTTTAGTAAACCCGTATTTTAGAGAAAATGTGTTAATTTGTTATTACATAAAAATGTGTTGGAAGTTTGATCCTCCAATTACCACTCCTCTAAATACAGTTCACAAGGCCAATGTGGTGTATTTTTAGGCTGGTACAGTATCTAAGCAGAATAAATAGAAATTTGATAGCACCTCGAAAAGTGTACAGACATAACATTACCTGAATACCAAAATAAAAACCAGTAGATGCCAAAATGTGACAATCAGCTACGTGTGAGAATAGGTCCCCCTGCTGGTACGATAGAATCACAGCAATGTCATGGACACAGAATAACTAGATTGGTGTAGAAAAGTCCCTAGTAGTAAATTTGCATAAAAGTACCTGAATTACACATAAAACCGGCTACTTGACGCTTTTGAAATCACAGCAGTGTCCGTTGAACAATGAACCTGATCTTCAGTGCAAGCAGAGCTCGCATTTGTTTTTAAAAATGCTTCTTGTATGAAAAATTAACCATTCTAGTCATTCTATTTCTACAACAGAAGTCCAATCAGCAGCTGGGGAAGACAGTGAGCTATTGTTGGATTGGCTGAGTGTCCTTGTTGTATTTGTGTGATGTAAACAATACAGAGTAAACGTGATTGGCTGAAAAAGAGGAACAGACTGCCTTTGTTTGTGCTGCCATTAGAGTTTTGGTTATGGCTGATAGACACCAGGAAGGAGCTGTCACTTTGGGATCTGCATCGGTGCCTGAAGAGGAGAAAATTAAGAGTGAATATAGTAACAGCGTAAACAGTAAAGCCTCTTTCAAAACACAGCTAACTTAAAGACAGAGTACATCCCTTTTAGTTTATTTTATTTATCATCAGACCACATCCTGCTGTAAAGATCCCATTCAACAATATTTTATCTTTGACATACTGAGGGCTGATTGGCTGAGTGAAGGCGGGCAGTCTATTAAAGAAGAGTCAGGGTAAAATACTTGCATGCAATAAAAGTTTTGAGATATAGGAACTAATAATATGGATTTTATTCCAAAAACTTAGGTACTCCAGCTTTAATATAACCTGAAAACGTATTTAGGGCTTGCACAAGTCAAATCATTTCCTGATAAATACTTATTAATACGTAATCTGATCAGAATGTTCACAAGCAGGTTCACTGCATTCTGTAAATGGGTCCATTCATTCATTCATTCAGAAAAGGTTCTATTCTAAAGGTTCTTAAAAATGAGATATGCCTAGGAATATTAACTGACGATGGCTGGAATGCCTTGTGAAGTTGATCTCTACTTAGGGGTCGTGTTAGCATAATCTTCTGTAGACCTTTTCCAGTCATGAGTAATGGTTACATGGGTAGTAATCCTGCAGACTCTGAACTTTAAATGAGGTATAACATGTCTATATTGGCGGAGCTAACGTTTGACTAAATGAGGCTGCCGAGCCGAGACAAGACATTAGGACTTTAAAATTAATTAATTGGGCGTCCCCTTTGAACACAGCTTCAGTGGGGAAAAGCATTGTAAACATTTTATCAAGGGCACGAACCAAAGCGAAGGTGTCGTAGGTCTTCATTAGCTCCTCAATGCGATATTGTTCCAGCACCACAACTCCTGCGAGGGCCGGACTCTTCCGGCGGGCACAGTCCTCACAATGCACCACATATGATTTCTTACTGCTGCTTTCACTCGTCACAAACAGCAAGTTAAATACCTCGAGCTGCACAAAACAAGATTGTCTTAATTTGCAGTTTAGGTTCAAAGTATTTTAAAACTCTTACATCACACTCATTGCAATAATAAGCAGGTTCGTCCTTCACACGACTCTGGTATGAGATTTTCTTCCCGACAGCCACCAGCTGGCCTTTTAGAATTTGGATGTGCTTGATGGACTGCATGAGGCAGTGTCTGAATGAAAAGAAGAGGACATACTTAAAAAAAAATATATAGAAAAAAATAATAATAATAATACAAAAAAAAAAAAGAAAAAAAAAGTTGACTTAAGTCAGAAGAGGGAGACTTCACCCTCTAACTCTATGCCAAGCCTAACAGTGAAGTGACAAATTCTGTTTCGCTTCACGCCCTGGCTGCTTATTACACCAGGCTTCCATTTCACAGAACCATGTGTCTCCCAGAAAGTCCTCAGAGCTACACAATATTCCACAAGACTTTCAAAATACTTGCAAATATACACATTATTGATGTTGAAATTATGATGTTTGAGGAGATTTTTTTTATGGAGCACTTAGTAAAACCAGCACTAACTTGATCAACTTATAGGTGTCTGGGTCGGTTATCTTGATGGTTCGGGCCACATTCCAAGAAACGTGGATCATTGGGACGATTGATTTTACTTTCTTCACCTCATTCCACTCAAAGCGCTCCAGAGCCAGCTGATACTGGTATGCTGAAAGAAAGAAAAAACAGACAGCAGAGGGTGAAAATATTGGTCTACAAGATTTGGTTAGTAAGATGAAATCTTTTTTTGTAACTCACAGTTTAGTGGACCCACATTCCAGGCAATGTTGTTGCACCATCCCACTGCTTGAACCCAGTGGACTGTCCCTGCATTGATCCACACCAGGTCACCTGGCCTCTGGATGAAGCGATAAACAGGGATATTCGACCTGTAGAGGTCCTCAAGCACTGGCCACCAGGACCCAGTCAGGTAGTCCACACCATGTCTGAAGACAGATGTTTACTAAATGATACAATATTTGATTTGAAACTCAATTTGAAATTTTACACTTACTTCTCGCAAAAGGTGTTGATAGCTCCCCAGTAATTTTCATGAACAGCAAACCATTCACAATCACCAGGTCCAATATTGATATTGACCGAACTAAAATTGTTGTTTTCTTGATGACCTAATGGAACAATAGACACACATGGAGAACCCACCCACACGTCCTAATAGTAAATGAGAGCATTGTGTGCTTGTAAAGACAGGGACCTGGAGTTCGGCTTCCTGGCACCTTCATGTAGAGCTGGACAGTGTTCATGCCCAGGATGGTGTGGCCCACGTGACTCAGCATGTTGTTACTGGACTCTACTCTCATGAACGCTGGCAACTTTAACAGCTCCTGCAGCTGTGGCTTCCATCTGATTTAACACAAAAGGTGAGACAGAAACTCATTAATTTATCAATCAAGTGAAAGTGAGAGATGCACACTACATAAAAGATAATACCACAACAATATGAGTAATGAGGAAAACATATTTAAGCCCTGCTGGAAATCCCACCTTTTAGGATCAGAGAGATCAATGTTGGTCCCAAATTTAATTACCTTTCCTACTGGTTTCTGCTCTGAGCTGAAAAAAAAAAAACTTGTATCAGTGCTATTGTAAATATTAGTAAATGTTTCAAGCAGCATCATGAGCTAACCTGGTGTTACGGGCACCTTTGTTAGCTGCAGATTCAGAACAGACTTTGGCTGAGGTGTTTTTACTGTTTGCTAATAATGAAGATGATTTGACTGATTTAGATGACTTTTCTTCATCTTCTTCTTCACTTTCACTCTCTTTCTCATCCTGTTGAGAGAATTGCATTTATTTGACATCTGCCGTTTGTTATGAAAAGTGGCGATCATCCTACGCATTGTTATTGCATTGACAGCAGAACAATGCACACCTCTAGACTCTCCTGGAAGCTGGAGGCCTGGTACTGGGCGTATTTGGCAATAGTGGTGTGAGAACGGCTGCTTTCACACGGCCACGTCTGCGAGGAACCTTTCAGATCCCAGTTCTCATCAGCGGGCTGTTGGACCTGAGTCCGCACCTCCACCGCATGCTCCGAGTTTGCTTCCACCAAAGACTTTGTGGAGAACAAACCGAGATCTTGTAGACAGAAAAAAAGGAAGTCGGTAAGCACTGTTATTACAAATACAATTTTTCTTGTTAGATTCTCATTCCCAAATTAGTTTATTGGTCAATGGGTTCTTAGATGATCCAAAATAATTTCATCAAAAATTGCAAGGACTTTTATGTCAAAAAATAAATGGAAAAAATAAGAAACAGTCTGCTTTCAAATGAGCAAGATTTCGTTTTTTACTTTGAAATTCTAGCCAGGCCAATCTTTCCATTCACAATACTTTTTCAATACTTTTTTAATAGAGAGTTGTTTTATTCTTTATTCCCAGTTTTCATTAAATTCTATTCTGTAAGTTTTTGCCACACCCCCTCCTTTGGTTTCAGACTAATCAATCCACCAGGTAATGTATTAGTCGACTCCAGCCCTACTGCAGCTACAGCAGGAAAATAGATTCAATATCAACAACAAAAAGCTATAGCGCATGAATAAAATATATGTGCAAAAACAGAAAAATAACAAACAAAGCAGTCTTACTGAGGCGGAGGGAGCCAGCTAACCCTCTGATGACAGTCACAGCATTCTTAGGATCAGTGCAGAACTGGAGCAGGACCGGAGAGAAAGCATCCCTCTTGCTTTCTAACTGCAAAGAAAAATATTCACACATACAGTATTTTACATTTCTTTTCATTATATACAAACAAATTGACGACGATTAGCATTTTGTGATGGATTTTTATAACTTGCACAAAGCACATACATAAATGCTGGGAGTGGGAGGGTTGAGTTTGTCTCTGGGAATTGGGATTTGAACTTCGATGTTGGGCTTGACGGAAAAAGCCGGGAGTAGGTACGACTCCTTAAATTTGCCCGGCACCTTGACTCCCCTGTAACAAAGATAAAAGAAGAAAAGTCAAGGATACTGACTTTGCAGTTTCCACAAGACTTAAAAGCTGCTCCTCACTTGCAGGCTTTGATCAGTTCTGTGGCCGTGTTGCGAATGCTGATTGTAGACAGCGGAATCCACTGTTCCTCAACTTCCGATACGTTGTAGGTCTGACGTCCATTGCTCTTGACTCGAACCAAAAGGATCTTGAGCTCCTTGGTCATGCCCAGAGATAAGGCTTTCAATTTAAGCGGGTTTTTTGGAGACACAGGGGGTATGGTTGCTGATGTGGATAATAACTTTGTCTGATTGATTGTTACAGTTGACCTCGAGGCCTTAGTGGCAGCTGCCTTTAGTTTCTTCTTATCCTCTCTTTTGTTTACAGTTGTGTGTATGGCCTCCATGCTACCGACGTGCGTCTTGTCAACTTGCTTATTGAGCGAAGGCTGATTTTCCTGAGGAGCCTGGTGTTTCATGCTTTGCTGGAGGAGTTCTTTGCACAGCACAGGTACTGAGAATGACACTGGCTTTTTACATTCGTGTTTAATCTGCTTTGCTTGTGTTTTAAGACAAACCGCACCACTTTTTGTTTTGTTTTTCTTCATCTTTAATTCCTCTTCTCGAATTCCACCTTCAGCCGGACGTTTTCTCTTTCTGTACAAGTCAGAGCACCCTAGTTTTGCAGTTCTTTCTTCTGATTTGGCCGGCATGCTAATATAATCTTTGAGCGCGGTTGTGTGTGTTGTGGTTAGTGTGAGCTCAGCACTAATAGAGCTGTCCAGAAGAGGAGCCTGCAGCTTTTCACCATCACCCTCCACATGTTTATTGTTCTCCTCCGCTTTGACATTACTCAAACTATCTTGTTTTCTTTCCTGCGTGGGGCTGTCTTTAATAGATTCTTCTCCTGACATAGCTGGTAACTCACTAATAGCTTTTGATGAATCCTGATTCTCAAGACTGTGGATGTCTGGCTGTATTTCGAGAGAAGAAGAGTATTTCACGCCTTGTGAATTCACCTGAGGGGCTCCCCCAAAAGGACCCCCCCGACAAGGAATCCTCTGCCCTCCAAGAAAAGTGGCCAAGCTTTTAAAAACGTCATTGATGCCTTTTTTATGATTGTACGCCTCGCTGTTGCCTTCAACCCTCTCTACTGAAACGGGAAGTTCGAACACACTGCTATTATCTTGGCAGCCATCTTTTTTGCCTCCATCCATGTGACCGTCAGGATCCATGTCACGTTCAGGGCATGGGGACTGGGTAGGGCTGGGCTGCAGGACAGGTCTACTGATCACCAGCTTTTCAAGGTCATCATCGTCTTCTATGGACACAGGAGATCCTTGCCAGCTCAGCACTGGTGGACTATTAGCAGGATTGTCACCAGAATCTCTCAAACTTCCAATGATGCCTACAGGCTGCAGATCTGGGGCATTGAGATCATTTTTTCTCCCAATTTCGTTCCCACGGACAGGCTGCTCCAGACCCACTGTAGTGAGAGGCTCTAAGGCTTTGAACAGCAAGCAAGGGAGTGCATCTTGGGAATGTGTTTGCGTGCCTTCTGATAAAGAAGTTGTCTTTTTTGAACTCTTGTCTTGTCTGTCTTTTGAAATGAGAGATCGCTTGAGTTTCTTCTTGCGGTGAACCTTCGAGCTGGTGCTGTTCTTTTTCAGGATTTTATGATTATCAGATTTGCAGGATGGCTTTGGCGAGGTGTGCCTGTCTCTACCAGAGGATAAATGGATCTTAGAAGTATTTTGGACAGTTGGAGCTGGTCTGTGAGGTGCTTTGTCAGCAAGTTCACTCCTCTCTCTGCGCTTGCGATTTGCAGATTTGGCTTCTACTGTGGAATTGCATTGGTAGATTAAAGTAGGTTTTTCTTTTGACTCTTTTTCTTTTCTTAATTTTTCACACTTATTTTTCTTCTTCTCATTGGAAGACCGTTCTTCTTTTTTCTCTCGTCGTTTTCTCTTTTCCATCCTTCTTTTGTCTTTATGTGCATTCTCACCTGTTTGATTCTTTTTATCCTTTAGTTTACTGTCTTTCAATTTAGGCTTATTTTCTCTGGACTTGTGAGACGACTGTTTGGACGCGACGTGCTGAGGGGTCTTGATGTTGTCGTCTGGTGAGCCTGTGCTTGTGGCAGTGGGACTGGCTCTGGGACTGTGAATTGGACTTCTGTGGACTTTCTGATGAGTGCTGCGGTGCTTGATGGGAGAGCCTTCTCGTTGATGTGAAGCTGGGCTGGGTGGGCAGTTGGCAGTGGAATGCATGGCTAAAACAGTAGAAGCGTCTGCAGTGGAGGACTTCAAGAGACCTGAATCCCTGGAACTTCCCTTGTGCTGTAATGTCTGGAGATAAAACAAATGGAAAACAAATATCCATGTTGACAGGATTTAGTGTGATTTCTTATCTTTCCACAAGGAGCCTAAAGTACACACACAGTGTTGGGGAGGGCTTGGGTCCATGCAATGGGACTACAGTAAATGATCAGAAAACTGTATTTAGAATACTATTTATTTATTCTGGTGGTTTTCACAATAAAGTGCTATATTTCTACATTTGGTCATGCAAGATTATTACATAGTATTACTAATGAAAAGGTTTCTATTTGTGCATGTATGTGTACACTGGGGACTTTAGCAAATGTATTCCAATGTGTTTTTACTGCATATGGAAAACAAAATGAATCTGAATCCGGATCTAATGCTTAAAAACATATTGTTTTGACCCATCGAAACATTATTACACTAAAATATTATGAAAAATAGAATTCAGAATGCAGTACTCGAATTGGATCAGGTAACAAAATACATTATAATATACATTCTCAGGATATAGGATCCTACAGGATATTGCTACTGGATACAACTGGAAAATATTCGCCCCAACTCTGCATACCTTTTAATTTTTCAAATCAAGTTATTATATTTTTATTTTACCACCTTGAAGCATTAACCAAACAGCTAAATAAACACTGGCCACGTTTTTAAGTCAATTGTCTCTTACTGTTCTCTGCTTGTGGTTACTGTGTGAATCCTTATCGTCCACCGGGGGCAGGGGGCTGTTGTGCTGCTGAGTGTGCCGCTGATGGTGGGAGGTTTGGTGACTATAAGGCACACGAGTGAGATCTGCTGGTGAAGACGGGGTCCTGCGCTCATCTTTCCCTCTGGGTTCTTGTCGCGGTGGTCGACTCAAAGATGTTACGTTACTTTTTCCTCCACTATGTGGTTTTAAAGTATCCTTCAAAAGTAATTATATTTAGTGTCATTATCAATATTACGTAACATGGTGCAGTTATATAAGTGCAGCAGACCTGATGCAGAGAGGTCGAGGGCCGACGGTCGGAACATGAAGAATGTCCAGGCCTTTCTCCCACAGGTTTCCAGTCTTCGTGGTTGTTCCAGTTTTGCCGTGATGGTGATGGAGGGTGGGCAGTTAAATGTCTTGAGCTAGGATAAGTTGACTGAAAAAAAAGATAATTTTTTTAATGATTAATATTTATTATGGTATGTATGTCATTTTATAAATTAAACAATGATTGCTCACAATATTACATTACGGCTCTAAATCCACTAATGTAATCATCCTGAACCAAGTGCGATTATAGAGTTTTTATTGAATTCCATTTTATAATCGTATTATTTTATTGTATTTTCTATTCTCTTATATAGTAGATCCTGTGTGATGTGTGCAATCTGAGTGCTCTAATTCATCCATCTATCCATCCAGGGCTGGACTGGCCATCGGGCGCACTGGCCAATGCTCGACGGGCCCATGCCCATATTTGGGCCGGTCTGCCTCATAAAAAATAAATATATATATATCTTTTATTTTTTATAAATATCTTTTATGTGTAAAACATTTTTTGGTCCCAGTCCAGCCCTCTCTCTCTCTATCTCTCGATCTATCTATCGATCTTGTATGTGAATTGAGAGAAGTTAGCTAATCTACAAACAGAGACCATTGAAAGTTATTAAGGCTGGAGTCACATGCGCACCCTAAAGCCCGGTTTAAGTGGGCCAGGGCACGTTTGAAGACTTGGGCCAGGGCCCTCTTGTAAAGCCCAGATGAGGGGGGTCAGTGTGGCGGGTGGTGGGGAGTGGGGGATGAGGTGTGGTGGGGACTTGATTATTGTGCGTCACATTACTTCTTCCGTTGTGACGGGCATTTTCACATGCGTCTCTCCTTCACTTTCGTATTTTCCGCTTGTGTTAAACCTTTCATATAATAATAATAATAATAATAATAATAATAATAATAATGCATCGGCTTTATATAGCGCTTTTTTGGACACTCAAAGGCGCCCCCGGACCAAGGGGCGCTGGAGAGTGTGTTGCTCCATGGCCAAAGGGAAGCGTTTCCTACACCCTCACAGTGTGGTGTTATTGCAATAACACTTCAGACATTCAAGAATCAGTCTTTATTTAATCGCCAGAACACACCAACAGACACTTGTATCCTGCCTGGCTCCGGTCGCTCTGATCGTACACAACACTTTTCATTCTTTCACTCTTATTCATTCATTTCTCAGCGCTCTTATGCTCTTAACTTAAGAGGCGCGCTCCCGTGTCCGCGGCGCGCGCACACACACACACGTTACCCACTGAACTGCTGCACTTTGCATCAGAGCAATGTGAACAAGTGTGAGATGTGTCTTTCCCTAAACAATGCGATCCGTACTCGAGTTGTTACCGTAGCAGATTGTAAACAGGAAGAGAAACAGAAACGTAACTCGGACAACAAGGTCGTCGCTGTTACGGGCCAGGCCCTTAGTGTCCAGGAGAGGGTGCTGTATGTGTTGGCCTGCCTTCTCTGCCGCCTCCTCCTCTGTGCAGGTACACCCCTGCACCATGCCACGCCTCCTCATCAATGGACCTTCTTCAGCTGGGAGCTGAGAGCTGCTCACTCTCCCCGGCACTGCTGTCTTGTTTGGTACTGCCCTGGTGCTCATTCCTTTGTTGCACATTTGAGTTTGTCTTTTGTTTTATGCACCACATTCACTGCCCACCACACACCGGCTTTCATTGCACTCACACACCTGCACTACACTACTGATTACAACATGCTCACATCCCATACCTTGGTTTTTGTTCATGTTATACTCGCCTTTTGTTATCATTAAATATACTTTTTACCCCCGTTTCACCTCCCTATTTGTTATGGCTCTGAGTCGGCCGTAACAGTCGCTGAAGTTAGTATTAGCGCCACCAGCTTGACTGAGCGTTGTACTACAGCACAGTTGCTCTGGCACGGTTAAAAGAACAAGCTCTTGTGACTGCAGGCCATGCTTCACACCCCTGTGGCAACAATCCGGGCCTCTTAGTAGTTTGTTTGTAAAACCTATGTGACCGTGCCTGTTGAGTGTCCTAAGAGTTACTTTTCCGTTGGTCACTCCTTGCATTGTAGTGCCTTCAAGGGGCATTGATGTTCAGCTTCATAACTGAATTTTTTTAACTTGAGAATAGATTTTCCCTCATGTTCATTCAGCTGAACAATCACTAAACAAACTCACCTGCTCTGAGTCCCTTCTCCTCTTTATTGGACACTCTTCTCGAGGGGACAAAGGTTGAGGTGGGCTGTGCTGGTGAAACTGCTCTCTGCGCTGGTGGAGGGCGGGCCGTTTCCATGGTACTGGTCTGTTGTTTACCAGTCTGCCTGGATAACTCCTCCTACACTCTGATGGGCCAAATCTATCCGGCGGTGATGATAGATCTCTGTTACGATGAGGAGGCTATCAAAAACAAGGACACAAAGTTAATATGCGTCTACAACGTCAATGTGTACGTTTTACCAAATAGTAGCTGTTCCAGTTTGTGTAGTGCTCTCCTGGCCCTGGAGGATAACTGCTGCGGAAGGAGCGTGTGGAGTCATAGTGCCAGCTCTGGGTCTTGTACGGCTGCTCTTTGCTGTCCCAAACACGCACATGGTGTCCTGTAGACAGACTCTTTCCCTGGACGTGGTCTGCTGGTCTATCCTCTCTGGGTATAAACAAATCCAAATAATAAACCCACAAAGCATACAAACAAATTCATTGCTCCGCTATTTTATTGAACAAAACTGACAACACTAACCTACTACAGTAACGATATGACGAGGGGTGGTGTTCATGGCTGCGCTCCACTTGGCATCTGGAGGAATACAATAGTCATTCATTTGAATATGAATTTCTGAGGGACACAACAAAAGCAATTACACATGTAGTGTTTTTAAACAAATTATGAAATAAAATATTACGGAATTAAAGACAAAATTCAGTCTCTACATTAAGGCAAAAGTACCTAAACTTAACAATGTGGATCAAGTGTTTAAGTTTGACTAGAGCTGTAACTGTATAGCAAAGCAAAATTGTAATGTATATCATATCCATGTGTCAGGTTGTGATTGGCCATAACTAGTATCAAAAACTATCAATAACTTCAGCATTTACCAAAAATAGGTCGTTGTTAGTAAAGAATTTGTATAAACATTTCTTACTAATGAGCTATAACAAGATACATTGTATAGGAGTTATTCAATTCTCTTTGTGATCTCTTGGGTTGTGTTTTCCAAAGGCCTAGGGAGGATTTTCTCTATTGTAAAAAGTGTGCAATTCCACTTGGATCTATACATAAATATGTGAGTAAGTAACAAATTGTATTTATTTTGCTGAGATCTCTCTTGACATTTACATAAAATGGTAAAATGTTGTCATGGAAAAACTGACCTTTGAGCAGGGCTCCAGGGCCGACTGTTTACAGAAGGCCACTGTCCTCTGTTAGGTCCTCCAGCAGGGTAGGAGTCCCATGTGTTACGGCCTGAGTACAGATCCGTCGGGTGATACATGCAGCCTGCAGCATAAGGAGAAACTTAGAGAGGAGCACAGACTCAGGGACATTTTCAAAATAAGATTTGTGTGTAGTGCATTTGGGCATCATACACACTACATACACTGTACTCTTGCAGTACATAGGATACATCTAAATTATGGCATGATTTTAAATGTTTAATTCAAAAGGAGAGAGTCAGAAGAGCACAACAGATGTGTGAGCTGTAATGTAAGCGTGAGTGTTTTTGTTACTGCTCTTTAGCTGTTCAGCGGACATATCATCAGTCAGCCACAACTGCATTGGGCATTCTGCCTATAATCAGTGCTTCCCAGCAGCCACCACAGCCAGTGGCCATACAAACACAGACCAACATGAAGCAAGTGGAAGGCCTAAACCTAACCCTAACCCATTGGAGCACAGACAGAAGTCTATACATTTCAAAGTATTTATATTTAGGTTCTGTTTAGTAATATAGAAGTAATTCAAATCCATCATGTTATGATTATGATGCAATATTTTTTTACAGTGCTGGGCATGCTCAAGAAAATAGTCTCCTTTTTTGAGCATGCCCAGTTGTTTGCATGTTTCACAAAGGTTTGCTTTAGATAACATGACTTCTGCTACAATGACCCCACTGTGAGTGGTAAATGAGCTAAGTGAATGGCTGGAGTAATAGTATTTAGACTGAAGTATTTCTCTTCTAAGAAGGATTTAGTTTTCAACTGGGCCGGGCGAGTCAGGAAAAGATGCAGTATATTATGGGTTTAAGTGTGTGCAAAAGGGATTCACATTAGAGAAAGAGGCCTATTGAACGAAACAACTTACTGCACAAAGTACACCCAAAGTCTCAATTTCCAGAATGAAGTATTCACATGAAGGTACCAATGTTCTTTACAATGTTGGCTGTCCTTAACCCTAAACTAGCAAGTGAAGATTATAACTGCAGAAATAATGTTTTAAACTCCATTTTGAATTGTGAAATTTGCCTTTTAAACATACATATAATGTCTTGCTTCCATTATACTGAATTTAAATTGCAACTGCCGAACAATGCTGCCCTGCTTCTAGTATTGAATCCATATGTGCACAGTTCATTGGAGACATCTGGAATTGAACTCAGAGGCCAAATGATGTCACAAACAAAAAGGTTAACTTCACTGTGGGGCAAAACGTTTGTTTTACAACAGGATCACCCAAGACAAAGAATGTGCAACGCTAGTAAATATCCACCAATTAATCTGAGGGGTGTTAAAAAGTCAGCTGCCACAAAGTCATAAAGCTACAACACTGTTTCCTTCACCAAGAAAACCTCGAGCTGTAACTACAGAATAATAACTGCATTTACTCATGCGCCCCCAGAGTCTTTTAGGCTGATGAGGGCTTTCGAAGGCTTTTACCATCTTTACTCACCTTAAATGGCTTAACTGTATTTATCTTTCATTATGCATTTAAGTTACCTTAACAATGACTGCTGAAGCAAAGGGAGGCAGGTTTCCCCCGTTCCAACTTCCAACAACCAACAACCACTCTGTCAGGAGAAGATTGCAAGACAGTAGAGCTTTGGTCTTGTCTCTTTAAATAGACATGCTTTCTCCTGCTAGCGCCTGGAGAACACAGAGAAACAAACAGGAGGGGGAGTGAGGGAATACCCCAGTAAGTTGGTGCACACATGTACTGACCAAAAGGAGTGTGCTGTTGTAGTTCATGGTCTTGTTTAAGATTTGTATCCCTTTGCGACAAATATATAAAAAATACTCTGTTGTGTGCAAAGTACTATGGTGGATAGATAACTATGGCCTACGCAGGTGGACAAACGTAAGACAAAATATCTGGCCCTCACAGTCACAAGGTACGATTTTGTATCCATGTTATGACTCTGATATGTTCTGATTGTCTCTTGATGCGACACGTATGCCTTTCGATGTGTGACGTATCTGTGATGTAACAATGACAATATAAACCAAGTCCTGACTTTGTTCTGTCTGAAAAAAACTGAAACAACTGAAGCCTGAAGGATACCTAATAAACTTCCAGGTGCACCACGATCCCGTCTCTGTGTGGTTAATCTACAACAGTACTTTACAATTTTTTTATTTGTTTAAAAAAAAAAATCTTTCTGATACCCAATACCCCAGCCTTGCTTCTCTTGCTTGCAATCTGTATTGCCTGCCTTTTCCTCACCCCCTCCTTTTCTACACGCTGTGTCCTTGTATCCGTGGCAACCAATGATATCATTTTGTCCAGTGCTTGGAGCAGGGCTTTCTGCAAGGTGTGGAATGTTAGCATAGACATGAGAGTAGGGCTGTGCTGCATGAAAGGCTGAAATATCTAACATAAAAACTGTTAAACTAGGACCTATAGCAGATTATTTACCGGAGTAATTTCTATGTTTTTCATTTTAAAATGTGCAGTATGATCAAATGGTTGTATAGGTGTGCGGTGTGCACTCAGCAGAGAAATACACCACTATTCATGTCTCAGCCAGAACTCAGTGTAATTGTAGTGTGATGTAGTGATCATTTGTGTGTATGTGTTTTGCAGAAAGGACCCAGATCCTATGCCATAAAAGGAAGGCTGGGCTGCAACCGACCAGGCCTGTCTCTGGTGGTTCTACAGCAGCTCACTCACATAAGAGGGGCAGACATGGTGGAAACAGATGGAGCAACACAGCGTGGGCACCGGCAGACAAACCCCACCAATGCATTAGCAGCCAGTGTGTCAATAGAAGTGCGACTAAAATAGTGTCACAATCACAGAGAAGCAACATACAGTATCAAATTTCTAAAAATAACATCCCCACAGCCCCTCTCAGCACAGCTCTTTTCCCCCTTCCATAAACGCCGCCTGAGCCGGTGTATGCTCCATAAAGCACAGCCTCAGAGGGGTACTGGAATGTACCAAGGCAAGGTCAAGAATAAGAAAGAGGGGTGTCTCTTAAAAGACAAAGCCTCATATTCACAAATGTATGAACAAAAGCAGTGGATCGAGTTAACCGGGTTCAAAGATGGCTGTGTTTGTGTGTGTGTGTGTGTGTCTGTGTGTGTCTATGTGTGCCTGTGTGCTAGACAGCTTCCTTGTGAGCTGGTTGCTATCTCGGATGATACATCCAGGTGGTTCTCTAAGCCGGGGATAATACCGGTTGATTTACCGGATACAATTTCCTATTTACAATCATGTCAATCTGTACAACAGTACCCTTTACAAGCATAGAATGTCTCCAAGTCTAGACTTGAATCTCAATTATATAGATAATGTAGTTTGCCTACTAAATACTAGCAGCCTCCAAACACCCAGTGTCTGCCATTCAACAGTTTCATGTGAATACAGCTGTAACCACAACACTGTGCAACTGCAACAGTTCCCCTTTGCCACCACATTCATCATGTCTAAATTCCTGCTCCTACTCTTGAGTGTGTGCACGTGAGCCCTGTGTATGTGTGTGTGTGTGTGTGTGTGTTTCATGCATGAATGTGCAGCACAGTCTGCAGACAGCTACTGCAGTGTCTTCAGTCAAGACACACTGCACCAGATTCATGCATGGCTCAAATCAAATGGACAAATTAAGCATTCACATTCACTTCTAAAGAGTGTCACTAAAGCCAGGACATTTAAATTAAAGAGACACGAGCCTGAACATTCAGTGAAGTGTAGTCACGCTCTTTACCTCTTTCAGTGTCTGCCGTTTGGTCCACACGCCCTCTGCGACCCTTGTCCCCTAGTCCTCCCTTTCACTCCTCACCACCTTGTCTCTCCCGATCCTCTCCTGTCTTCTTCCCCTCTCCTTCTCTTCCTGTTTCCACTCTTCTCTCTGATGCTCGGCTCTCACTCACATCAGGCCAATCCATGTGCTGAGACCAAAGGGGCGGGACAAACAGCTGCCAGTACAAGCTCTGAGCCAATCAAAGGGGAGAATCTCTTATCTATCACATTTGGCTGTGAACAGACAGGGAAGAGGAGGGGAATAATAGCAGACAGAGAAATGGAGGAGCTCTTTCTTTGCTCTCTTCCTGTGTGAGTGCATGCAGTAGGCAGTGGTGTGTGTGTGTGTGTGTGTAACAAGTGTTGGAACAGTGCCAATACAGTACAACAAATATATTGGATCACTCCACTGATGCAACGCTTTTTTTCCCAAAGGGCACGCATTTGGCACAAATTCATGTCAGCGAATTCGATGTTGTATAGTGTCTCATCATAACGTTGGTTATGATCAGTGGGGGAGTTAACATCAGGTAACCATCCTGTGAACTATTCTAAAGAGATACAGGTTTATTGGTAAAACAAGTTTAAATCACATTATTGTCTTTATTTTGTGTTTAGAGATATTTAGCCTATTGTAGAATCAAAACAAGGGAGTTGAGAAGACAAACGACAAAAGTTCAACTGAGCTCAAATGTCAATTGCCAGGATAACCATAAGGGGTGGAGCTACACGTCTGCATTTTGCCTTTGTGCCCTAAAACGTTGAAAGCCCTCCACTACTCACTCACTACTCTAATCTTTTCACAGCGAGTGGCCTCTGAGAAGTGGTCACGCTGAGCTGATGAGGGGCCACACAAGAGAACTAAAGCTGCAACGACAGAGACAGAGGCAGTCAAGTGAAATGGTGGAGCAGACAGATTTCTGCCTAAAGTGCCTTAGCAACAGCCATGATCCGCTGAAACATTATTGGCCACTGCTCTTGCCATGTGGGTGTTTGGACCAATCAGCAAGTCTTGCTGCAGGACTAAGCAAGAGCCCACAGACCGGAGAGCTGGAAAATCCCTGCCCCCTGGTGGCACAGTCCACAATAGGTATAGAGAAAATATAATCCATGCATTTAATGCAGTAACCACAGAAATGTATATATTGATTTGAGCAAAGAGTGAATTTCAGGAATTACTGAGCATCATCTTGTCAAATACATGTTATTTACATAGGACAGAGCCATCAGTATGACATATATGAGAGTATCCTTGAATAATCTGTAAGTGGAAACTGATCAAAGAATTCTCAGCAAAAGCAAGTATGCTTGAAGATG